GCCCTTGATGATTGCAGGTGCTTGTAAATATGCGAAGTTTTGTCCGACAAGAGGTGCTCACGAACTCGTGTACAAATGTGGCGAGTGGTCTCACCAATATAACTGACATTACAGCCAGCACATGAAAATTTATATATGACACGCGAACGTAGACCTAGCGGTACTGAATCTTTCACACTGAACATGTTTCTGAGTTTAAACGTACTGAAGACTAACTTAACATCTAAATCAGCTCTACAATAACGTTTGAGTAGTTGTCTTAACTTAGTCTGAGCGATGTTCGAAAACCGACCAACATAGGGAAGTTTATAATAGTGCGCAGAAGGTTTACCGGAGTTAGAAGAGGCGTTCTGCCCAGTAGGAGAAGGATTATTTTTCTTCGCTAGATACCTGTAAATGATCTTGTCTATGACGCAAGATGGAAAACAATTTTTCCGTAGCAAGAAAATAAGTTTTTTGACATCCAGATGAAAACCAACCCAGGAATTATTGATCTTATATGCTCTGTCAATCAACGTTCTGACTAAACCTAATTTGTCAATCAAAGGGGCGAACCTGAAATAATTAGTAAGAAGACCAGTAAACGTCTTCATCAAGGGCTTGTCTTGACTCTTGTGATACTGAATGTTTCACGATCTTAGATTCTGCCACTTCAAAATACCAAATTAAGATCAAAGAGGCATTGCATATTAAGTGGGAAAAACCTATCCTTAATCAGCAATTGAAACATCCAGAATTGTCTCTTTCCTTTTAATTATGTTGTTCCTTGGTCTTTTAATTTATTTTTATTATTTATTTATTTATGTATTTACTTAATTATTTTTTGATCTAGTCAAGCACGTGCTATTTACATTTTTCGCGTTTTTAACATTCAAATGTAACGTAAGCCCTGACACATAGTTTGTAACGTACCTTAATATAAATTCAAATGTACAACAGTTAAATGCTCATTTGCAACTGAAGATGACATGAGAATGTCGAAACATGTCTTGTACATTTAAACTCAAAGTTGTTGTTTCTTTTTTGAGAGTTAGTTTATTTCCCTGTCAAGATTATGATCCAAAATTTATAGAATTTATCATTATAAGATAAGAAAAAGAAGACACATTGTGTGACTGTCTGTCTCTTCAATAAATTTTGTATAATTGCTAGAACAATCATTTACAATCATGTAACTTCTCCACTCTACCAAAATATCTCATAAAAGCTTATAGCATTTGTCAAAAATTAGTCAACGAGAAAAAAGAAAATAGTATGGAAAGTCACTTGAGCTGGTTCTGTGTGATCTTGTTTGAAAAAAAAATAACAAAGAATATTATGAACAACAATACTGAGTAGATCAAATACCTACATTAAATGCAATAAATTATACCTGCTCAAGAAGGAAAAGAGCTTCATGTGGTTGTAGTAACATTTTGCCATGGTTCTGATGTCCAAAGTGCTGCCAATGAGGACCCTAGAAAGGAAGGCAACTTAACCTTGATAGCTTGTCACCTAGCTCTGCTATTAGAGGGTCAACATCTGATATCAGACACCTGATAGACATATACAAGAGACTTTGACATCAATGACTGGTGTTTATAACCGCAAAGATCACTTTCATACCCATTTCTCATTCCACAGTTCACATATATGATATTCACATACTCACAATTTTTAAAGCAGCAGCGAAAAAAAAACTTTTTTTTTCAGACCATATTTTCATTACTGCTTAAGTAGTGTTCATTACAAAAACCCGATAGCCAGATACACAACCATATGTCTTACATTTCCCTTCTTGTAAACACCTCTTTTCCAAAGGTTTTTTTTTTTTTTCAAACATCATATTTCTAGACAAGTATATTCACCTTTGCCACTGACACCTCCACCACTTTATCACCAGGAACCCATGACCCTACAGATAGGTTGCTCCTGTCAGAAATTTGAATCAAAATCGCAGTTACTAGTTAGATTTGTAAAAAATATATATTACAGTAAAAGAATATTACATTCAAGTACCAAATATTAAAATCATTCGCGTAGAGACATGTTTCTAAACTCCAAGTCTCAAGACGTATAATTATATTTTTTCAACAAGTAGTTTTTTGCCCACTGAGTGGCTGGAGAACAAAAGGAAATAAAACAAGCAAGAATACTTTTTGGAAACTCTTTGTTCTTGTAAGACATCTCCATGTTCCTGGAGCAAGGAGGACAAGACTTCGTCATCTGCATCTGCATCGGGAGCGAACACTTTCGGTCCTCCTTGCAGTGGTAACTGAGAAGGTTTCTTTTTATGTGCAAGAAGATCTTCGGGGCTAAAATGCGAGCAGAGTAGAGGTATTAAAGTAGATAGCCTGAATAAATATTTGGATATATCAACAAAGTTGAAATGGTAAATTGGCCACCGTAACGATTACAAAAGCTGACGTTTCGAGCGTTAGCCCTTTGATAGACTGAGCCTACATCACTTACCATGGCACTAATGCGGTGTTCAGCAGAATTATACAGTAAACATAACTTAAAGATTAAACTTTACCACACACGTTCTCAAACTGCGAGAGCACAGTCTTACCGGAATAAAATGTTCAAATCAGACATGACTCTTTCTTTGTAAATAGAGACTCCTTTCGATCAACATCCAAATAACTAGAGACATGATCATATTAAGTAAATTAAAAAAGGGCTAACTAACGCCAAGCTTAACCAAACTTGTGCATAAAACTGCCGCCATCTTGACTTACTATCCACGCCAAATGTTCCGTAAGTATTGCAATGACTTATGGGGAAAGACTTGCTTGTACCCAGTCTCCATACGATTGACAACAAATCTTGTCAAAGGCGAGCAGGTGCATTCATCAACTTTTAGTGTGAGGCTAGCTCTGTGAGCCAGGTGAACTGTGTTTTTACAGGTTACTCGAGTGGGCAAGATAAGATTAGCCTGTCTTACCCGCTCGAAAGTGCCCGCTTAGGTAAGGTGCTCGAAACCAGTGTACATGACATAAAAAAGTTTCCTAAGAGTTTTAACGAAATAAGAGTCGCGGACTCGTTTCTAAAACAATCAAAGCAATTAAAGAAAACTGCGACGATTTATGAGAATTCTTCTTCAAACCTTTACTCTTATTCAGTCTTTAGTCTCACCTCAAAACCGCAAGAAGGCATCCAATAAAATCGACGGATGTATCTCTTGTCAAATCACCAAACATACAGGTTAACGAGTGCTGAACCTTATATTTTGCAGAGCCTTTCTGGTTTCTTGCCGAAAAAAAAATTACACAGTTTTTACAAACAGTTTGACCTTGTTTTGTGTGTCACAGATATCCTGTTTGGGTCAAGAGAACATTCTCTTGGTTTGGGTAGAAATATTTTAATTAAACACTGCGTGGACAGGAGCCCATTCCGATAACAAGGAACCGTCACTGACAGTAAGTATGCTACGGGGAATCAATTTTACAAGAGCTGCAGCCACAATGGACGTCATTCTATCCCGTTTTCTGGTTTTGAAGTGTCTTCTCTTCAACTTTTTTCTCCTAGATTTTCAGGTAATACAGGTTGTTAGCTATAAAGTACTATTGCCAATCACGATAGTACTGTTTTGAAAATATCGTGATAATCGATCTTGCAAAACAAGGCATCAAAGTCTCATTTTGCTTAATTCAAACATAATAGTTTCTCCAAAACTATGAATGTTTTTGGTTTGCCCTTAAGCCTAAATCAGTCAGTTCTGTGCAATTTGTTTTCCATCTACATCAACAAACTAGGTATAACCAGTTGAAGGAAATAATCTAAGTCTAAGTTTTAGCGGAAATGAATTATTAATTTGATTAGTGAAACGAAAGAAGAAATCTAGTTTTTGCGGTTTTTCGTAATGAGGGACTGAAGCTGTTTTTTTTCTTTTCCAATATGACTGTAGTTTTTCATGCATATTCCTACTACATCATGACTTTTTTTGTGCTACAGCAATAGGATTTTATGTGTTTCCAGGCACAATCATGTTTAGGACAAAACGACGTGTTTCTGCCATCACCTATGGTAAAGACATTACAACCCGAGGTCGGGACCTCAACTCCTCTGCCCGTGACCGAGAGAAACCTGTGGGGAATGAGATTGTGGCAAGTGGCGGGGTTAGCATTTGTGTCCACCGTTGTGCTTGGTGAGTGTTCACTAACCACTTTCTTAGAGGGAGATACTTTGACAAATTTACGTTATTGACTCAGTTCATAAAACCAGATTACCCTGTAATACCTTCGCTCTGATTATTTATTTTACTTATTATCTCTGAACTTTTATTGTAACTTTTTAGTATTATATTTCATTCATTTTCTACTCGATTCATTAGCTATCTAAGCTAGGTGCCTGACAAGCTCCATAAATTTCGAGTATAAATAAATCTACATCTACATCATGACAAAGGTCTGAACGCTCGAAACGTCAGCTTTGAAACTCATTACGGTGGCCAATTTATATAATCAACTCAGTTGATAAAACCAAAGTTACCTCATGATACCCCTACTAGCGCAGAACACAGTTTCTTTGGAAAGTTACCCTCTTTATTCTCATAGAAAGGACTAGGAATAGCACTCGTCCTCGTCTCATTGTTGTGGCCGTAACAACTGCATCCTCGGAGACCCAGGGGCTGTGGGTCGATTTCAAGTTAGGGCATGAAGAGCCCCTGGGGACATTGTCTTACAAGACTAGTTCCAAACGGTCGCAGTCGTTCTGCCATCTGATTGGTGCCAGAAAATCTTTGTGTTCTTCTGCCCAGTCAGAGTAAAGTGTGCTTTAGAGTCCTTTCGTGTGTTTTAACACGGACATATACTAGTAGCTCAGTTGCTCACTATGTTTGTTTGGACCGTGCGACGGAGATTTGCTTGAGGTGAAAAGTTTCAGTCTTAGCACACAATGTAAGAGAAATCGATCAGATTGTCCACGAAAGTCTTACCGGAAATTATACTGAATACTTTCGCACGTATCACTAGAGAACGTGTTTTAAAGTTTGCGAGGTTTGTATACAACACGACGGTTGCAGTCATTGATATGTCGCTTTAAACGTTAAACGAGATTGAAGCTTAAATCGGTTCTGTCCTCGTGTGCCGGTTCACAAGAGCCGATACAAAAGACCGAACAATACACAGCAGCTAACCAATGACTCCTAAACAAAGAAAGAACAATGCTAATTCCCTTGTGAACCGGTACACCAGGACAGAACCCTTAACTCTTTCTAGATTTTTTGCATAATTTGCTGTGACTGAAACTTTGCCAATCCCGTGAAGTTATTTCGCCGCACGGGCCACGCAGGTATGTCGAGCAACTGGTACTTTAGCTAATTAGCTAACCGGAAACACAGTGAACGACTTTACTACTAAGATTAGATTTTGGCGCGCACAGAAAGCAGAAAGCAGAAAGCTACGCAGTCGAAAGCGCCAGTTGTATATGTCCGTGTTAAAACACGCGAAAGGACTCTAAAGCACACTTCACTCTGATTGGGCAGAAAAACACAAAGATTTTCTGGCACTAATCAGATGGCAGAACGACTGCGACCGTTTGGAACTAGTCTTGTAAGACAATGTCCCCAGGGGCTCTTCATACCCTTACTTGAAATCGACGGCCCCTGGGTCTCCGAGGATGTAACAACTGGTATTCAATAAGCTTATGCGTTTCATTTCAGTCACATTTTGTTGCTGTCTCTGTGACTGTCGTGTCCCTAAGACTACTTATGATAAGGAAGACAAGCCACAAGAAGACAGTGACTGCAGTGACACCGAACCAGCGGTTGCCGTTCGTCGAGCACCAGCGATGATACCAGAGCAGGAGCCACAGGGCGGGAAAGAGCTGGTCAATGGCTCTGCTCCACAGAAACTTCACAGGGGCTTCAGTGAACACGAGATAGGAAAAGCAAATTCCGCTTTCGAGAACGACGGCGAACATTCTGCTTTGCATCATGAAAACTGGAAAGGAAAGCCGCGTATTTCTTTCAGCCGGCAGCCCTAAAACCTATCACGGTACTGATATCAAACTGAGGGGAAGGGGGGTGGGGCTGAGCTGAAGAGAAGCATCAACGTCCCACAGAAGAAATCGCATTACTTGACATTAATGGAGTTGACTAAGAAGTCTCATGAACAAGTTCTAGTCTACAACAACAACTTTATTCGTACCTAACATAAAAAATACTGATAAAAATAATGATAAATTGACAAGAATATAAAGGAGTACTAGCTGCTCCAAATAACCATAGGGGCTAGAAAAAAAGGGCAGCTATACTTGGGTGATTTATGTAATGTAATTACTTGGATCAGATATAACACACACAACACACGCACACACGCACACACGCACACACTCACTCATCATACAAAACAAGGTCAAGGTCAAGGTCAAGGTCAAGTCTGTTACACATTTACTCCTTAAACTATCTCAAAAATTGTTAAATCACATTATATTGCGACTAATATCAGTTGTAGGGGCACAATTTTGGTTTTGACAACAATTGAAGCATCATTCACATCTACATCTCTTCCGAAAAAATCTTCGACACTTCGTCATGGCCAGTGGTCGTTTTTGGAAGCCAGCTCTATTCTGAAAAGTTTCTACTTTTTGCACAAATATTACAACTGTCATACTGTAATTCGCGTTCAACCTCAGGCAACGGTTCTATAACCGTAAAAATAAAACATTCCCTTTACAAGAATTAGTACTTGATGTAAAGTAATCTTCTCAACTTTCGATGAACGTTATTACTACGATCAAGAAAAACAGAATTCCACATGTACCTTTCGATTTTTCTTCAAAATATTTGATCCCATCAATCTCTTAAAAATCGTATAAAAATAATCGTACATGTATTAACACCTGATGGTGATAAATAATGAAATAATTTAGATTTAAAAATATATATGCCTCTGAAAACTTTTGATTTAAAACAGTCAATAGCTTTTTGATAAAAAAGCTTTGTGCCTCGGCCGATTTACATCTTTAAATTACTTTGAATAGCCTTAAAAGGCACGCATAAAAATATTGAATACCCCGTTTTCAGTTTTGTTATTTACGTTTCGAAAATTTTCGCTGCAAACGTGAAGTGCAATAGTTTTCCTACCAAAGGACACCTCAAGAGTAGATCAAACGGGAATCCTAAAACTCCTTGGAGAAGTCTGGTGAAGAGGATGACGTCATTGTCTCGTTTTAGAACGCCATACTGTTGATCTCGCCTCGGCCTCGTATGTTTAGAGGGTCAGTGTTAGTGGTTGCAGCTGACGAAGACGGCGGAAAAGCGGAAGTCAACAACGGGTTAGCTCCTACTGAACTAAAACGTCCGGGTTTCCACGAGTCCTCGAAGGAATGAAACTCCATTGAAGACCGATGCATGGCGTTGTACTAAATGGGAGGAAAACAAAAAAACTACAGAGCTAACTCTCACACAAGCAGACATTTATTAAGCTAAATTTTATGTTGGTATCTATCTAAGGCGGGGACAAGTCATCAATTTTTCTCTGTTTATCAAGATGTTTAACTTGTGTACAAGGAATATGTATATTTTACAAATAATTTCAAGTAATTTATGAAGCATTGATAGTCAGTCTAGAGAGTTCGCAGTTTATCACAAAATTAAGATTTAGCAAAAGATAAAACGGAGAGCCCATGTAACAACAAACTTAAATTGACTACCATTAAATCAGTCAACGCGTTCGTGACATTTTCCAGCTAAGTTCTGTCCGCCAGCCAGAACGTAGCCGGAATCGCTGACTGATTTCAAATCTAAATTAAGTCGCCACAATTTAAAGTTAGATCTTAATTCTAAGTAAATTTTAGACACGGCCTCCATGAAAAGCACAATTTTTATTTATTTCTTTTACTTGAATTGTTATTATCAAATTATTATTGTAGTTAGATAGATAGGTTTCTAGTATAGAATTAACTAAATCAACTGATGGAAAAACCTACCCTATCCTAACAGTCAGCGGTCAGTCACTTAGTAAGATACTCAGTTGATCCGTCAGTCAGTCAGTAGACAGCCACTCAGACAGTTGGTCAGTCACAAAACCAAACAGCCCGCCGTTCACCAACTCGGTCAGTCAATTTCGCAATAAATCAATATCAACTTAGCACAATATACATATTCATTACCGTTGGTTGACGCACATCGCTGGGAATAAGGGCTACAGACTCCGTTCTGGTATCTTCTTCTGAAATAGACTGGTAAGGAGTTCCAAGGGGGGAGTCAGAACTGCGCAAGATAAGATAAGAGGAGAAGCAGGACACCAGTGAGTATACACTCTGCCACTATAAATTCACCACTTTCATTCGCAGAGGACAGAATAATGTTTCTAACAATGTAGGGTGTGTCAGATAAACGTAATTGGGCGTGAAATGTTGTTATCGGACGGCAGTAAAAAAAAAAAAAAAATGAAGAGGGTAGGTTTCTAAACAAATTGTGGCGCTGCGTCGGTGGGGGAGTATAACAAGATAATTTGGTTTCTTCAACTGAGTCGACGTTTCGAGCAGTAGCCTTTCGTCAGGGTGACTGGAATGGAAAAGAAAGTCTCGGTGGATTTTGAAGCCAAGAGCAAATACAAAAATGAGACGTCACATGTAGACTGGGCTGACCTAAACTAACGAAGGCATAGCAGAACAGTTGATTTTAATGAATATTCAAGCCACTCACCCACACAAGTGTAAAATGCTCCGATGCTTTCGAATCTTGGATGGCGGAGTTCTAGTGAAAGAAGTAATAAGTAGAACTGAGTTTGCCGAAGGAATGAATACAACCCAAGGACACATACACAAACACGTAAACATTGGCCACAAAAAACATAACTATAAGGAAAGCCAATTCTTTAACAACCTAAGACTTGTACCATAATGATAGCTTCCTACATCATGCGCAGATTAAATTTTCTGGTCGCAAACTAATTCTCTAATCTTCTTCATTCTTGTGCATGGAAGGAGATTTAAAAGCTGTTGTGTCTCATTCCCAGAATTAGGTTATGAGTCGCTCATAAGCCCAAGAATGAATGGCCCATGTTGCACGTTTGGACATGGGCCATCCATTTCATAAAAAAGAAAAATCTTTGTAAATTACATCGAGCAGAAGCTTACTGGTAGGCATTTTGGGTAAAATTAAATTTATACTAAGGAAAAAAGCTTTTGAGTTCCCTGTTTCACAAATTATTTCTCTACACGACTCTTAGGGGAGAGAGCCTCGATCTTGTGTACTAGACCCAGCCTTCAACCTCTGCTCACAGCCACACACATCCAATGTGGGGTATTCTCACGTGAAGATGCAGTTGTTACCTGAGTAATATGGGCAGCACTAGAGTGTGGTTAATGATGAGAAAAAACCCAATTATAAGAGTCATAAGCAACAGTTCAGCAATGCCCTCCCTGCAATGGAATCATAAACATCATCATGTAGTAAGTTTGTTTACTATTATACGTTCATTCACAAGTTAATAGAGAGATTTAGCCCCGCGTTTACGTAAAACGCGTGACCTTGTTTTTCCCGCCATTTTTCACGTTTGCTGGTTGCACTTTGCCGTTCCAAGTGAAAGTAACCTGTCTCGTGTTTGCCGAGTACCTAAGATTTTCTTCCCTTTTTCTCTCACAGAGTAGTTAATTGCCGGAAAAAGGCACCCAAACTTTTCTTTGTAAGTCATAGGAGGGCGCCTTCAAATCCAACATGGCGTGAGCTCGCGCGAAGCTAAAGCGGTAAGGTTCACGCTATTTTACGTGAAACGTGAAAAGGCAAGTTGACGTTTGCCGTTTCACGTAAACGCGGTGCTAACTCTCTCTAATATCTCTATCATCATTCCAATATCTTGAAAAAGTCCACTTTTTCATTGCTTCAGTCAGTCTCTCTCAACTTTGTTTCAGGGAATTTTCAGAGACTGAAGCTTATCAAAACTATTTCCCTGAAGACCAGACTGTAAAGGTTTATCATCACAACGATTATTGGATAACACAGTGCTCAGCATTATGATCAGTGCACTGGCCTCTAGATCAAAAAGTGTTTTCACCAGAAACCTCTGATTAAATGTCTGGTGACAACCTGTCATAAATTGGTATCTCACCTAATGGGAATGTGGTTGCAATACTCCAACTCACTTATGACTGAAAAACTGGGATAAACTCTGGTGGGGTAAGCCACTGGCTCAAGAGAACACTTTGTTATTGACAACTAAGATCTCATTGAAAAAAACTAATTAAAACGATTTGTTATACTTACGCTATGTCATAACATACACAGTACTGGGAGCACTGAAATTGCTACAGTCAAAAAAAGAAAAACAAATGTAACTGTCATGTTTACTGCAGATGGTAAAACACCCTCAGAAAAAGAGACAACATCTAAATTTACATTTTTAGAAAAATGTAAATTTCCTAGTTAATCCACACCAGTTTGTTTTTTTTAGACATTTTTTCCCCAAGAACAAGATATTGAGGGTATATATCATCAGTCTCTTTCCCATGATGGCAACTTTGTCTAGAAAAGCAATAACAATTTAGACTGACTCCAAATCCAGAGCTGTTTGATATAGGATTATTAATGACCCAACAAATGTCCATGCTCTGATCAACGAAGTAAACAATTGTTAAAGCACATTACCAGCCAAACTAGTCTATCACCAGTGGGGAGTTGATAATGGCCATTTAGCTCCCCCTTTTTGTTTCTTTTGACCAAAACAACAAAGTTTCTCTACACATCGACCAAATTCATCCCCACCGACAAAGAGCAATAGGGACAGCAAAACATTTATAACACCAGATCATGTTATTAAAAGAGAAATTTTGGAGTATGTCTGGACCAATCCCATATTCCATTTCTTTTCTTTTGCTTTACTTTGTGCTTGGTCTAAAAAATTGCACAACCCTGCCAACCAAACAGATACAAAACAAAATTTAATTTAATCAGTCAGCTACTTTGTCTTTACCTTGAGTTTGCATTATCTAATTGTGATATAAGCCATTGCGATCAATCAGATTTTGGTTTCTCAAAGTGCATTAGAGCAGTTTCATACCTTATGTGCATATCTACAGTCAAGATTTTTGGCTATGACGGACACACTTTCTTGTGACTTGCACAAGTAGCTATCGCCTTCCAAAAGATCCTTTTTACAGGCAGGGAAGTCCTGAACATAGAAATTTTCCACATGACAATTGAGTTCTTAAGAAATTAAGTTTAACTTATTAGAATAGTTTATTGATAAAATTATATCTAAAGCTTCAATACATTTAATGGTAAGAGATTAAAGAGACATCCTATTTCAAACATCCAGTTGTTTGGAGCAAGAGGGATTAGCTGATGAAAAAACATCTCTTTGTCCTCACATGCTCACTGAGCAAATCCCCAGACATGTCAAGTTTCACTCTGGTCACAGTATATTGGATCCTAATTTTTTTTGCCTATCTCAAGCTCTGGATACAAGGGATTGTCTCCAATTCTCCTTGTCCATGGCCAGAAGGTTAGAGTTTGTCAACAAAGTAAGATCTTATGAACTTCGTTTGTCAGACAGATTGTTTGTTCTAAAATTTTGGATAAAAGAGATGATGTGCTTTGTGAAACACAAGCATGAAATTACCTATTACCCACATGGGAGATGTTAGTGGCCTGATGGTAAGAGTACTAGGCCTCCAGCATCTACAAAGCTTTTTTTCTCAGTATTAGAAGATAACAAATACAATTCATACATACATATGTCATATTCATAAGATTATGAAAAAGGCTTAGAACTTCCTCCAAATATTCCTTGGCCTTGTCTGCATACTAAGTACAAAGAAAAAGGAAAATTTCAGTCATTCAAAAAAAAAACAAAACAAAACAATTAACACAAGGCATGTCAGAGATAATTTTCAATCCAATAATGATTTTACCTTAGAGCTCAGCAATGAATATTGAAATAAAGCATCAAGCACCATGTACTTTTAAATGATTCTTAGCTTTAAAAGTTCTATGACCTTTTGGTCTGGGTTATGTTCATCCAGTGGGCAGTCCATATAATATTTTACAACACCTGTGTAAAGAAAGAAGAACACTCAGTGAGAAAAACCTTCACATCATAGAGAACCTAGTTCAAAGAATAAAGGAATTGATTGAGGGGTTTACAGTCATTTTGTTCTGTGGTCAGATCATTCCAAGTAAACTCTTTTCATACAATGGTCAGAATCTCTCGCAACAGAATTTAGAACTTCTCTTCGATAAAGGTATTAGAGTCAGATGTTTCCTCTCTGGATCATTCCTGAATCAAATTATGTCACAGCTGTAAAGGGTCAGTTGATCAAGAGCAAATTTCAACTCAAGGCAATTAGAAAAAAGAAAGAAAATGCTAAATATCTTACCAGTATTTTTCAATACAGGTTGACTTTTGATGTAGTAATAAACTGTTCCTTTAGGATTCACACATAGATCAGACATACCCTAAACAAAAACAGGTCATCAGAAAACTGCAAACAAAAGTATCTTTCTGTGTAATTTGAATATATCAACAAAGTTGAAATGGTAAATTTGCCACCGTTACGATTATAAAAGCTGATGTTTCGAGCATTAGCCCTTTGTCGGAGTGAAGGGCTAACAAAGGGCTCCGACGAAGGGCCAATGCTCGAAACATCAGCTTTTGTAATTGTAACGGTGGCCAATTTACCATTTCAACTTTGTTGATATACTCAAATTATTTCGTTACCCCAACCGAGGCAGCCCCAAACAGTTTCTTTCGAAACTATCAGCCTTTATATCTTTCTGTGTAAACCCCTAGGCAAGATCTGGTAATAAAGGTTATTTCTGTGTGTATGATTATGTATAATTAACAATTATTCCACGAGCGCATGTTGGATATGAGATGATAGATAGCCAACAAGGCGCGTAGCGCCGAGTTGGCCATAATCATCTTATATCCAACAAGCATGAGTGGAATAATTGTTTTATTAAAAACGTTAAATTAAATTATTAAATTTGATTAAACTTTTAGCTCCCTTTTAATTTTAAGCTGACACGTACACTTGCCATATTTGTAGATTATGGTATATTGGCTGATATACCATAATGGCTAAGCCAATAAAAAGTCTTGAATTGCATTATCCGATGATCTAGTTTTTAATAATACAGTTATGATCAAATAAAAGACATGTCAACTGAGATTGTCATGTTAAGTCAAATATAAGAGTGTTTTTAGCATTGTTCTGTTCATAATCATCATTGCTACAATGCATATCTCACATCTTAATTAAAATACTGTCAACAGTGTGGTTGTTGTAAAAGTGATTGAATGCAGTAAGTTACTTTAATCATTGTTGCTGCAGTGCATATCTCACATCTTAATTAAAACACTGTCAATAGTGTGGGTGTTGTAAAAGTGATTGAATGCAGTAAGTTACTTACAACTGCCATAGCCAAATCAACTCCTGCACCACAAGAGATCACTAAGAGGCAGATGATACCAACTAAGATGGCTCTGAAATGATACAAGTCAATTAGCAATGAAAGGAAAACGTAAGCCCCTAGCAAGGTTTGAAGAATGACCCATGCAAAACCTGGATATGGATTACAACTGAGGTGGAGCTGTTAGGCATGCACTAAAACCAGGAACAGCGGAACACCCCAAAACACCGGAACACTGCGGAACACCAGAACACCCTGGAACACCAGAACAACAACAACATTTATTTATACCACAAAGAAATAAGATAAGAAACATTAAGAAACTATATATTTAGTGCCTGCTTCTAAGCTCTTTCGTGTTATGTGGGTAAACAAATTACATCTACATTTTATTTTTTTACATTGTCAAATTCGGTGTTCCGGGGGTGTTCCAGTGTTCCATGGTGTTCCAGTGTTCCTGGTTTTAGTACATGCCGAGCTGTTGCCATATTTAGCACACTATGTACAATGCTGAGAGGCAAATGGGTTCTGATCCCCCTACCCACCTCACCTGTGGGTTTGTTTTTATTACTTGTCTGACCACAAAATTCTTATAACAAGAGGATCAAAACTTACTATAACTGCCACAGGCAACCGATACTTTTATTGATAAGGAGAAACTCTAACACAATTTTCAACATGGGTTTCAAGAAGACAAACAAACAAGGCGAAATGACATGGTTAAAAATTTGTTGCCATATTGTTGATTCCCTGCCTGGCAGCGAAATAGCTGCACGAAGCAAATGACAAAATATAGTTGAACTTACAGGACAAACTGCCCAAACTCCGGTTCAATACATGCTACGTTACATAACGTTATGAAATGACACAAAGAAAGCGCACACAAACTTTTACTACAATCAGCACTATTTGAACAAGAACAATAAACAAAGAATAAGGCATTAGTGATCTACACTTACCTTACTACTAACAGTAAAAAAAATTAACTTTCTTGAAAAGTTTCTTGGGTAATTTAGGCTATATGCTAAACTAGTGTAAAAACAAATTTCAATCTGTGTTTTCTTAATCAGAGTTGGACTACACCCATCAAGATTCCTGGATCTGCCACTGATTCCCACAACATCCACAACACCATATTCTGACTAACACTATGTATTAATAGCGTTTTTCAACTTACAGTACAATTCCACATCTGCTCCTTCTAAGGATTGCATAAATCATGAGCAAAAAGGCAAGAAGATTCAAACACATTGTACCAAATGTAGTCCACCATCTGAAATTCATAAAAAAAGAGTTTCTTTTATAATGTACAGGTTGATCATGGTTTACAGAGAAAACAAAAAACAAAAACAATGAGCAAAAACTATATGTGTCATAAAGTGTTTTATTATGTTGCTGCAACAATTTGGTTGACCTTGGGTAAGAGAGTGATATTAAAAATAATAGGTATCTCACCTGTAGTACTCGATGTCATGGATATCTTTATTGATCGCTGGAAGATTAACTTTCTTTATTCTCACTAAACTGGTCACAATGCCTTCAATTTTGAGTCTAACTTTATCTATCAACTCTTCACCCATAGAAATTCCTGAGCAGTCTGATTTTGCATCAAGAAGGATACTGTCCATGTCTATTAGCCCATCTTTTACAGAATCAACCTGGAATATAAGAGTCTCATAAGATTCAAGTTTGCTATCAAAAAAGTAGGCAATCAAGATTTTTGTTCTGACATAGGGCTAACCCTTGGCCAATTTAATGAAACCAGATCACCTTGTCATAACCCCAACAATGCAGCACCACAGTTTGTTTAGAAACTTAACCCTTTCAACTAAATGTTCCACAGAATGGATTGTCATGTAAATGTTCATTCTTGACCATAAATGTGAGTGAGGTAAAGATCCAGCAATATTCCCCTCCACTTCAGTGAATAATTGTTGATAAGTTACATACCACACAAGTGAAAAAGTGCTTTTGCATGTGCTGATTGGCTAGTTAAAACGTGATTTGCGAATACTATTCACCTTGGAGCAGCCAACAAGTTAATTTCTAACCATCATTAAGTGTATCAACAGAAATAAACTAATTTTTTGGTTTCTGTGCAGTTAAATAGCCTAAAACAATTATTTACCTCAGTGTTTGAGAAAGTGGTGGATATTTACCTTCAGTTGACACTTTACAGCCAGGTAAACATCCATAGCTCTTCACCTTTGCTTGAATTAATTATTGTCAATTATTCTAATTGCAAGGTCCAAATTTTCTGCGAAGGAATTAAATGGCTTTATTCAAGTACATAAGTAACTTTTCAGTAATGATTACCTTTGTTTGGATTTCTAACAGACTGTCATTCACATGCTCCACGCCTTCAAGCACTCCAGTTACCCCTTTGTCTATTTTGTCATTAAAGATGAATCCCGCAATTACCACACCACTGAAATAAATGATAAATTAAGTTAAGGAAAAGAATAAATATAGGCTATTTCAATTAATACTTAAAATAAATCTGCCAGTACTTTTTAACAAATTCATTGATATGAATGACTCTGAAATATTTTTAGACATGTTAGTAATTAATAGCACAAACAGAGTAAAAATATTACATGTTCCAGTATTTCTTTCCAACATAATTTGGATAATCATTTAAAACAAATATCATTTGCAGGTACACATACAGCACCTTGTATTTTTCATTTCAAGTAGCCTCAATTGATACCAAAATTATCAGTCACCAACCTGCACAAAACAGATGTTAACAAGACAATGTATCGCAAAGCCATAACACATTTTGCATGTGGTCTGGGGTATTTATCACAGGAACACCAACTTGCTAAGAAATGTCCACAGAAGATAAGAAATACAAGACCACCGAATAGGCATGGACCCAAGGCATATAGGAACAATGCCTGCAAAGGAAATAAAAATGGTGTCCGAACATGATAAGTATGTCCTGCAAATATTAATAGCTATTACTGCATCTAGCTGAGGTACGTTGTAGTGTTTGGGCTAACCTCAGGGGTAAAGTCTAATTAAATTCATCTTTTGAATAGCTAAAATCTTTGTCAAGTTGTCATTATTCTCACACACACAAGCAGACCCTTTTTTGTTTCATGTCCTCGGCAGTTTAAAAGATGTGCCACCAAATATAAGCCATACAAACATAACTCTTCTTTCGCGTTTTCGTGCCACGTTTTCTGCCTGTATTTTAAGTAAAGGCCGATCCATAACAATATATACTCTTCCGGTACGAGAATTGCAGTGTCATAAGGGAAGGTGTATTTCTCCGATGGAATCCCTGATATGATGTGCGAACTACCAGAAGTAAACAGAAATACCTTGCATCTGACGTTTTGAAAATGCCTTAATTGATATACAATCGCTGTAAAGATGGTCTTTTCAAAATGGTAAGAGGGTTATCTGTTTTTTTAATTTCTATAGTACACTTCGAAAAAAATCTTAATTTCACTTTAGAGAAAATCAAGATCTTTAGGAATAGAACCGAACAACATTAAATGACTCGGGTATTAAGCTGTACTTGAACCTTCGTTTGTTCAAGAAAGACGCCATATTGTACCTAAGAAACGCATCAAAATAAAGCTAATATTGTCCTACCTGTTGGTAATCTTGAAGAGTAGGGACAAAAACAGAAGAAACATTGTGGAAATAAAAGTTAACGTGTGCAAACGAATGGAACGATTCTGCGATCCATGGTAGCTGGAAAAATTCACCACCAGTGCAGTTCGCCATAACCTTTTTCGTTACCAGTCTCTCTCTGCGACCGTCTGAAACTGTCGAGCCCAAGCTCATGATCTACAGACAGACAGACAGACATCTATATTTATACAGGATAGCCCCTTCAGTGTAGTAAACACTGGTATCAACGGGGGTCCTGTTACCCACCCAACCCACCCCAGGGGAGGACATCCATCACACAGTAATCTCGTGCGTGGGAAATTAACGTCTCCTGCCCCTAACCCTGCAGGAGACGGGACCTCCATTTATTCGTCCCTATCCGAGAAGACTAGAATATCTAACCATTTCTTGATGTTAAAGAAAGGAAGCATATTCTTCTCAGTTAATTTTAAGACCCTGAGTGTTGGTCCGGCCGGTATTGAACTCTCGACCTCCCGCACAGCAGTCCGGCGCTCTCCCAATTGAGCTANCTTAATTTTTATCTGACTGATTCTACTTGCATTGTACTGTACACTATCTAAATGAAATCATAGTTAAATTATTTAAATGAAATTTTAGTTTTTTTATCGGACATGATGGGGTGAGTCATTGCCGCTAGCATTGCGCATAACTCACTAGGCTTTCCTAGTTTGTTACGGTGGCCAATTTACCATTTCAACTTTGTTGATATATCCAAATTATTTCCTAGTTTAAGCTCTCTGGTATGGCTTAGACGATACCACAAATGGGGGATCGTTCGGGGTAACCATATCGGTTCTCCCCCATCTTAGCATCAGCTCTGCACTGATGAGGTCCAGAAGGCCGAAACAGTACTGTCTGCAGTTATTTATACATATATATCTTACTTATGATGCACGATCCTCGCAGTAGAGAGCGCTATTTATGCAATAGCGAAAATCAGACCTGAAAAAAAACAGGCCTGTACGGGATTCGAACCACTGACCTCTGCGATACTAGTGCAGCGCTCTACCAATTGAGCTAACAAGCCAACTGGGAGCAGGCCGTTAAGTTGATTCGTAATAAATCCATGATGATAAATCAGTGGTTCGAATCCCGTACAGGCCTTTTTTTTTTCAGGTCTGATCATTTCGCTTTTGCATAAATAGCGCTCTCTACTGCGAGGATCGTGCATCGGCGTATCTACAACCGCAGTTCAAAATATATGAACTTCATATATTCATTGTATCTGATTTATCATCTCGGGTTTATTACGAATCAACTTAACGGCATGCTCCCAGTTGGCTTTTTAGGTCATTTGGTAGAGCGCTGCACTAGTATCGCAGAGGTCAGTGGTTCGAATCCCGTACAGGCCTGTTTTTTTTCAGGTCTGATTTTCGCTATTGCATAAATAGCGCTCTCTACTGCGAGGATCGTGCATCATAAGTAAGATATATATGTATAAATAACTGCAGACAGTACTGTTTCGGCCTTCTGGACCTCATCAGTGCAGAGCTGATGCTAAGATGGGGGAGAACCGATATGGTTACCCCGAACGATCCCCCATTTGTGGTATCGTCTAAGCCATACCAGAGAGCTTAAACTAGGAAATAATTTGGATATATCAACAAAGTTGAAATGGTAAATTGGCCACCGTAACAAACTAGGAAAGCCTAGTGAGTTATGCGCAATGCTAGCGGCAATGACTCACCCCATCATGTCCGATAAAAAAACTAAAATTTCATTTAAATAATTTAACTATGATTTCATTTAGATAGTGTACAGTACAATGCAAGTAGAATCAGTCAGATAAAAATTAAGAGCGATGGCAGGGGCAGTTACGGGAGAGAAACCAGGTGCAGGGCATGTCAGTATTATAAGTAGTGTCCAGTAAAGTAGAATAAGTTGCGCGCAGAAAATTCTTAAAAATACTTAGACTCGAAAAATTGTCATGAGAGGCGAGATTACAGATGATGGTTTTAGATTTGAATCCGAATGGATTTCTGGACCACTCACAAAGCGAAGTAAAGCGAAACTAAAGCACTCTCGGATTACTTCCGAAACTCAATTAAAAAGAACTCTAATAGCAGCTTCAGGGATTATGTAGAGAATTCTCGAAATTCTACGGTACATGGGTAATCCTCAAGAGTATGATGAATACTGAATAAAGATACACGATTTACAAAATGTTTTCAATCTATATTCAGTGGTGCTATACTTGATCGCAATTCATTTACAGCTACTTGCGTAATATCTATTTTCTACAATAGCAACAATCGTGATTCTAAAAATTATTCAGTAAATATTACTATAAATCAAATTAGCAAAACAATTCAACGCATCGCATCAAAATTAAATCAACAGCATATCTATTTACTATCCCGCGATCATCAGAGATCAAACTACGGAGCTGGAAAAGAACGAAAGACATTTACAGATTATACCTCAAACTAAATTCTTGACTAGCATGGTGAAAACCTTGAAAGGTTAAATTCAAAATGTGCTTTCTCTCAAAGAAAAAATGCAAGAACCACAAAATATTTCATCAGCCACTTTTCTCCTGATTTTCTGTTTATTGGCTTGTTGTCCAATTATCATCTAATAAGAAATTTAACTTTGTAGAGCATCTTTGATTGAACCTAAATGTTCTACAACATCCATGAGACCTGTGTAACAAACATAAAGCGTAAAAAAGAAAACATCTGGAATTAAGATAACTATAATTCTTTTAGTCTCTCAAAATCACCAAAGCGCTATGGCACAGATTCGCAAATAATCGATGTAAACAACCCCATGTTTAAAATCGTCTGTTCGCTTCAGTCTTAACTTTCACGATAATCAAACGTTGATCATTAACTTTCCTTAAACTGAAAGGTGAGTTTTTATCTCATGGATCTTTGCTTCACTAATGTGCAAAGTCGTCCGTGCTCTAGTTCGCCATAACCATGAGAGCAATCTAACCGAGAAAAGTCATTGTTTATAACAGTTGAATCGTTCAACTGATGAACTCAAACGATATTTACAAAAACAGGGCTAGGAGTCGTTAAGACATGGAAGTATTAAAAAAAATACGACATTTACAACACTATAAATACTACACGTTATATAAAAATACTGTTCAGAGATAAACAATTTACACAACTATCAGCCTTTATCAATTTACACTACTGCTTTTTACACGCAGAAAAATGATTTAAAATAAGATATAAAACTGTTACCGTACAAAAATAGGGCGAAGAAACGCCAATTACACTTAAAACTGTCTCCTTATGACAGTTTTTACCTATAAGTACAACTGTACAACTATTTCACATACGTCTGTTGGGTATGCATGAGATTTCATCTCCCTTAACGAGAATATGTTACCTCTAACTCAATGACATGGTTGAAGATCTTAGAAGAAATTGGATGATAAAGAGACGTAGTTCAGACTTCGAAGAACGTATGCCTCTCATTCAATGGATTATCTGGCTATAAATTAATGTTATGACAAGAAGCTAGACGAACGAGGAGTAAGATGAAATGTGAGGTTCACTTGATTCAAAGTTCTCGTTGTTGTGACCAGTTCTGTCCATATATAAAACTGGGGCAGGAATCCTCCCGCCGTCCGATTGATCGCTGTTACCGTCTCGACTTGAACTGTGGTAGGACGGTACTGGAGAAATTCTGCCCCCGAACACTGGGTCTACAGTGTGGTAAGAGGGAACTGGAGAAACTGGCGATAACGGAGAAGGCGGGGAGTGGTACCGCGTTGGTTTATTAGCAGATTTTATTTGAAGGTTGGGCAACTGTTGTGGTTGCCACTTCCTGCGACCAGGTTCTTCTTCATATTGAATTCTGGGCGGACCCATCGAGTTCGCAATTGTCCTTGTATCCCGGTGGTCGTTGCTACTGGACGACGCTCGATCGGAGTATTTTGAGCTACCGTCGGAATCCCGAGGATTCGGGTCAAATTCGAGGGCTCTTCGGAAACTGCTCGACCTTGGGTCTCTTCTGTTACGATTCTGAATTTCCACCTTCGGTGGGTAACTCATTCCAGTATTTGAACGAGTAGGTGATTGAGGTGGTGTACTGCTATCACCGTTATAATCAATCCGATTACGTGACCTCCTCATTGAGCCCGCGGTTCTCGTGGCCCGCGGACGCGAAGAGGGTTCCTTACGATCGCGATTAGTCGGTCTCTTCTGTTTCTGTTCGTAATCCGGTGACATGAATGACGTCACAGCCTCAGGAGGTAGTTGAGATCGTTCAATTCGGTCTAACTGATCAGCGGATTTCGCCATGTATCTGCGATTATCATATGCCGGAGGCCCATCTCGTTGATCCCTAGGTAGAGACATTGCAGAGAAGGACTTGAGAGTTCTAGAGATCGGAACTTCCTCGGGTGCGTCGGATTCTTCCGTTGTGTGCTCGATTAAGTTTCGGCCAGCTGCTGGCCTTGTTCGGCCGAGCGAGTTTCTCCATTGCTGGTGGTTAGGATTGTTGGAGTAGTGGTTGATGAATTTAGTGTCAGCTTGTTTCCTTTTGTATGTCATCTCGGACACTCCACTGTCACTGTCCGACAGCTCTTCTTTAGACCCCAAGCTACTCGCATCTTCTTCCGGCTCACGATCAGCGTCCCGGTAAGTACTGGGGAGAGAAAAAGGACAACAAATCAGAAAAAATGTAATAATAATAAGAAATTACCCGTAATAATAATAAAATCGCGCAGCCATCGTTAAATCAAAGCCGATGAGGACAGTAAGACAATAGGATGTGTAGATGTAAGACCACTACAAAAATATAATACGGGTTGTGAATGATACAAAGTAAAAACAGCCTGCTCCAGACTCTGCTCCAGACTCTGCTCCAGGCGAATCCATTCGGTAAACAGAGCTGTGATGTTACTCAGAGTGGTGCACACAGAACCGCGGAAACTAAGGGGCCTGGTGAGAATGAGAATTCTCTCGACTTAGTCTCTCCTCTTTTCTTATCGCCTTTCTTCAGTCACGCGACAGCTACGGAGTCTGGACCGCAACAAGTAATTACAGTGATACATACATTTGAACGCTTGGAAGAGTTCCACTTCGAATGGTTCCGTTTCGCGAAGAGTTCCTCATCATTTCAAGTGTGCTCTGCGTTGTAGAAGCCCCAGCAGAGGAGCCTTGATCTGCTACTTCTAATAAAAAAAGAACAAAGACTTTAAAAACCTTGGCTAGTCGCAAACTGCATCGAAGAGTAATGCACAGAACGAATACAAAATAATTCTAAGATCACGAAAATGAAATGAAATTAATCAATCAGCCCCAGTAATAACTATCTAATTTTGCGACATACGGATTTTTTTTTGTTTAATCTCTGCTCTAAAAATTACGAATCACAGAATAATAAAGCAAATCATTAATTTGAATTTCGAAAAACTAAAACCAAAGTAATGACAAAAGCCAACCAGGGCGAGGATAGACATTATCGGTATCCAATGAGAAGTCAGTGCAAAAAAGGGTGGGAAAATTGCTTGAAAAGCGTGAAAACGCGAATGACCATATCGTAACTGGCTCTAGGTTTGCATACAATTGGTTGAATAGGTGGCGCGAGATTTCTAAACCAATGACAGAGTGGAGTAGGCAAAACCAATGCAAAATAGGGTTACTTTCAACACTAAAATGAAAATAGCGCTAGTGAAAATGCTCAGTAACAAGACCGAGGTGTGATTCTTCATTCACTCACCCTTTCTGCGTCGATAGCAGAGGTATACGAAACCAGCGATCAACAAAACGAGAATGAGGAAAAACAGAACCATTAGTAGAATAAACCACCACTGTTTGTAGAAGATTCCGCTCTGAATATCGCTGTCAGCTGGACCTGAGAGGCACAAGAAATATGTATTTGCAAAACTGCTGCCATAATCTCAGCCGCCGGTAAGACAGACCAACTTTAAAATCTGGTTTACAACGGTGTGACCTGAACTGGGAATTTCGAGTACGTTTACAAGGTTTTCCACCCCACCTCATACCCTTCCCTAGCTTGTGTTTTTCACAAACAGCAACAAAACTGTTCATGGGTAATCAAAAGTCACTGAAATGCATTGACAGTCTCACAGCGCCCAAAGAGTGTAGACAGCCGTTTTTCTGCACACTGACGCGATTTTGAGGCTGACTGAATAGGGCTTTCTCTTCGCTCTTACCTCGTTACTAACAATGTCATCATTTAATGTCCACACGAGACTGAGTTTGAGATAAACTCAAAACTTTCGTAACAGAGTCGAAGAACAATATTCCTTCAGTTCTTTAACCGCAGCACATATATAATTTTCATATACCGGTATTCACAAACATTAACTCATCGCTTCACGGGTTTATTACGATCCAACATAATGACCAGCTCCCAGTCGGCTTGTTAGCTCAGTACCGGTATCGCAGAGGTCATGGGTTCAAATCCCGTGCAGGCCTGAATTTTTTTTTTCAGACCTTATTTTCACTCATTGCTGCGAAGATCGCTCTCATATTCATATTCAGTATTCTGAACAGGTAACCAACTGACCTGTAAAGATTTTGTCTGAGGCGTCAGATGGCTCCGATTTGCCCTTCTCGTTCCATGCGATTATTCTAAACCTGTATCCAGTGTTAGGCTTCAGATTTCCAACAGTGTAGTACACATACGATCGGTTTTTTCTTGTATCGTCAGGATTCGCTTCCCAATTGGTAACAAAAGTTTCAGATCCTGAAAACAAATAGAAAATAAAACCACGCTTTTAACCAACCCTTATCAAGGTTTTCACAACGGTGCAAAAATCTTTTCACTGGAGGTTTAGGCCTCTTCATTTGAGCCTATTTCGTATATTAAAGTATCCATCGAAGCGTAATGGCTTATCAACTTCAGAGCGTATTAATGAGACACTGTGGAAAAACACAACAAAGACGAAACTTTGCGAACTTACTCAACAGGACATTGGCTTATTCAAAGTCTCCTTTGAGCAAAGCGTCTTCGTATATTTTCAGGTGAAAGCTCTTGTCCGGTCGCCAACACCCGTGTGAAAACTGATGTTTACAATCTCTCGACAATAAAACCTGTACTTACCATCCGTCTGGGACTGGATCTCAAACTTTTCGAAAGGAACATTACCGCTGTCCCCATTCACCCACATAATAACAGCAGTAATGGAGCCGGGATGTACCACAGGTTTCCCAGGTTTTCCTGGCAGTACTGTAACGAAAAGACATTACAAATGACGAGGCGCTACCGAAGAGCCCATTCCAACCGAACGCAATCATTTGTTTATGTGTTGACCTATTTGTTAAATCAAAGGAAAGCCTCTACTAGTCGTTTCGTTCAACACGAATAGCATGCTGTTGAACTTTGCAAAAAAAGGAATATTTAGGAGAGAAATACGTCGAGCGTCATTACCAAGGTGCTTGACTCTTTCCACCCGAGCATTAATATCCATATTCTGCACTCTGTTCTCTCTACATTTTCTATGATAATGACAAGGAGAATTTAGAAGCCAGTCACACTTAGAAGTTTAACGTTGAACACTCACCGGCAGGCCCCTTTGTTTGTGCAAGGAACTCATTTGGCGGTCCGTAACCCAAGGAATTTCTCGCTCTGATCTGAAATGAGTAACTCGTCAACATCGCTAGTCCGGTCACTTTCATTGTTTCTTTTCCACCGTCAACGACTATCTTCTCCCTTTTGCTGTTGGGGGTCAATTCCGCTGTCCTGCCGTAGCTGATCTCGTACTCAAGAATTTCCCCGTTCGGTTCACAAGGTGGTTTCCAGTACAGGTCTACGCGGGCATTGTAAACCGCGTCGGCACGGAAAATGGCTGGGGGTTCGGGTCCTAGTTGCGCAATAGCCGAAATACGGTTAGAATTAAATATAACGAACAAAAGTTCATTTGTGTTGGGTTACATAGAGAGTACACATACTATACAAAATTAATACTGTCAAGGGTAGTCCAAGGACGGAATTTTACTTGCTTTTTTAGAAAGGTTGGGGAAGAGTAGAGTAGGCGTATGAAAAAAGGGTTCACAGTGAATATTATTCAAAGGCAAATGCTCCACTCAGTATATTGTGCAAAGTAAATACTTACTGTCTTGATGGGTTGTGACCTCCAGTGATGCACTTGGCGGACTCTCTCCTTTGGAATTGTACGCACGTACCCAGATTCTATACGTAACAAATTTTCGAAGGTTAGTTATGTTGGCGCTATTCTGGTGAGGAGGGACGAACAGCAGCTTGGGTCCAGGCTCTCGTGGACATACTTCAGGCTCCAAGGATCGTCTCCGCCTGCGGCGCTTTTGAGTCAAAGAGAGATCTTGTACATAAACCTACAATAAGAAAAAAAAAATTAAAATCAAAATAAAAAAAAATTGTATTCCCGAGACAAATGCAAAAAAAAGTTTCGTGACAGGTAAATAGTCACGCAACACGCGTTACTAACAAAAAGTTTCGTGACAGGTAAATAGTCACGCAACACGCGTTACTAACAAAAAGTTTCGTGACAGGTAAATAGTCACGCAACACGCGTTACTAACAAAAAGTTTCGTGACAGGTAAATAGTCACGCAACACGCGTTACTAACCTTGTATCCCATAAGATGTCCATTAAAAGAAGCTTGAGAGGGTGCAGACCATCTGATTCCAATGGACGTTCTTGTCACCGTACCCTTTGATAACTCCTTGGGAGCTTCCGAAGGAGCTAAACATCAACACGACAGAGTGATACAAAAATAACATTACTTTGATATCCATAATTATTCTATTAGTATTGTGTTAATATTGTTAGCAACGTTGGTATAGCAGGCAAAGTTGCTATTTTTAAAATGGTAATGTCATATTTAATGCTTGAATCGTTAGTGATATTAGTATTGTTATTAAGTTGTGGTAATCAATTAAAAAAAATACATTCTTCAAAAGAAATTTCAGAGAACAAATCTGGAAACGTTTGTCTAGAATGTAAATCAACGATTTCTGCTGGTACATCCACTGCTAGCGCTGAACTCTTCTATGACAACCTTTCAAATTTTCCGAGGCTCAAATCCCGTTGGTTTTCCTCGTTGAAATGATCGTGCACATTTTCTATCTGCTATAAAATCAGACACAGCACGATTATCCGAAAATTCTTCAAGCTTCTTACGAACACATATCACCTGGCTTAGCGACCCCAACTCTGCAGGCTCAACCGGAAGTTCTCATTAGTCTTACTCCACAGTGGAGGAAGTAGCAAGAAATCGGCCATTTCAAAGTATGATTTTATTGAACAAAATTAATCCAAAATGTTTACATCTAACGTCACACTTACGCTCCTCTCCGGTTGTAACTCTGTAAAGAGGGGAATAGGGTCCAGGTCCCTTCTCGTTCTTAGCCGCTACTTTGATCTCGTAGACGGTGAACACTTTCAAGCGTTCCAATTTATGGCTACGAGAGTTGGCATTCAAGGAAACTTCGCTGAACGACTCGGAACTGCTGTCGGCACTCTTTTCTCTGTGTTTTAAAATGAACCCCTGTAGAGTTCCACCCAGCTCTTGTGGAAGTGGAGCCTTTAAATTTGGATCAGAGACAAGAGGTAAGCTTTTGTTTCCTGACTTAGAAAAGTCTTGGAGAAATTAATAGCATAAGAGGACGCGCGAGTTTCCGGATTGACTAAACCATAAACGATGGAACAGGAAGTCCTGTGACTAAACCATAAACGATGGAACAGGAAGTCCTGTGACATCTTTCCTACTTCTCCTTAGAAGTTCACGTTGACAATTTTGGGCTCAAGCAAAACGTACTTTTAACAGCACAATTTGCTTTTAAACTTGCAACTGACGACCTGTTTAAGTACGCTCATCATCCAAGCACCTTCTGGTTTCTCCATCCTATAACTTGAAAACATATGGCGCAAGATCCTTCTCTGTAGCAGCACCATCATTATGAAATGCTTTGCCATGTGAAATTAGAAATGCTCAGTCTGTGTCTGTTTTAAAAGTAGATTAAAAACTTTTCATTTAAAAAAAGCCTTTTATAATTAATATTAGCTGTCTTAAGTGTTAATGTTAAAGTTTTTGTAGGCGCCTTTGAACAGTAGGATACTGGCGCGGTATAAATCTTTTATTATTCTTATCATTATTGCTATTATTATTATTATTATTATTAATAATATTGGAGGTTTTTTCAATGAAAGAAAAGCATACTGTATATGTTATTTTTCTAATGAGACGAGAAATCAAGTCTTGCTTTTTGACTATCAATGAAGGCCAGAGCACGGACATTCACTGAAAAACAACAAAAAAAAGCCACTTACCGCCCATTTAATGTCAAGTGACGTGGGATATGACGTTACTGTGATGTTACGTGGAGCCCCAGTCGGCACTATAACACAATTTAAAAACAAATGGCATATTAAATAAAAGTTAAGCTATACGAACTTCAAAGTTAAATGAGTTCTACGCGGCATTATTCCCAGCTCATTTTCTTCACCTGTAAAGGACCTCGGAATGACTATTTTTTTCTATACATGACCAACGAAAAAGCTGTCGATGGCTCTTACAAACAAAAAACTGCTTTGAATAGAAATTTCCCAAAGCATCTTTTCCAGTCTCACAGGCAGGGATAACACCATTGTATTGAACTAAATTATTTACATCTAATGTAAAAATAAATAATTATGTCGGGATAATACTAATACTACTAATAATAATAATAAACACAAACACACAAAAAAGGGTCCTTGATCAGTTATGTACTGTCCCCAGGTAAATTTCGCCGTTGAGGTCTTTTTTCCCGACCAACCCTCTTGTCCAAAAACTGGCACGTCAGTTTTCAGAAAAGAGGACTTGTCAAGCAAAACTTGCTGTTACAAATGCTGTTTCAAGTTACATTTTCTTTCTCTTTCCTAGCATGACACGTTACACTTACATGCAAGACGAGTCGTAACAGTCGAGGACGCCGCACTGTAAGGACTGTTTCCCTTGTCGTTTGTGGCCATAATTCTGAACGTGTACGACTCCCCAGGAAAAAGTCCCTCCACTTTAAGGTTCCGGAGATTGTGGAGGACGTTTGCCGAGTACACCTGCCAGCCCTCGCCATTCTTGTTCAGTTGCAGGGTGAAGTATCGCAAGGGGCTCTTTGCATCTGCTGTGGCTTGCCACTTTACGATTATCGATCGTTCGCCGATGTCCGAGAAATAGATCGGCAAAATGTATGGTGCATCAGGAGGTTCTGTTGCGTAATAAAAACGAAGCACAAAAAAGAAGTTCCGGTGGAGGCCAAACATTTATTTTTTTGCTTGTTTTCACCGACAAAAGAGATCAATCATGGGCCAAATGAGTATAGTGTAACATTGCAAACCTCATAACTTTCTTTCTGATCACGGAGTGACGCCTGAAGAGATGGAATAATTTTTAAACGTGTCCCATAAGAGGTATACGAGAGTAATTTATGAGACGCAGTGACTTGCGTTTGCTGAACTCTCGGTTGAGAGGTCTGAGTTCGAGTCCTGGAGGATCATTGTGTTATTGGACGAAACATTTTGCTCTCAAAGTACCTCTCTCTACCGGGGATTGCAACTGGGTAGCGGCAAAATGTCGGGGGGGGGCTAAAAATGCTGGGGGACTAGTGTCCTAATCAGGGGCTATTGGCAATGAACTTAGAAATTCAGGATCACATCCGGCGGTATGAGCCACATATAGAAGGTGAAGGTAAAGTCTGTACTCCCCCCCCCCCCCCCATGGAAGGGATGCTGGTCTATCGCAAAGTTATCCATTTATACTCTTAGGTGGAGAGGGGAAAGTGTTTTTCCCAAAAACATAAAACACAGACCTGGCCGAGTCCCGTTTCTTGAGAGTGCCGGTAACTCAACGGTCCCGAAGCCATGTTTTAAAATCAAAATTTAAAGGAAAGAAAAGCAGGTTATGACACCCAAACCAGTCCATTTTGTTTTTTTGTTTTTTTTAGCTGATAGTTTACTGAATCATATTCAAAACTTTTCAAATCCCCGTCTTGAATGAAAACAGAACAGCTTTACAGGCCCGTTAAGTTACCAGGACTTTCGAGAAACGGGGCCTCGGTCTCGAGCCTGGACTGGGAGTCCAGCGCACTAGCCTTTGGGTAGCGTCTCTCACACTAGCAGGTGAATTACTAGAGTGTACCTACCTGTTGAACCTCCAGTATAAACAACTGCTTCGGCTGGATATTCGCTTTGACTTGTGTTAGTCAGAGCCCAAAGGAAAAAGCGATAAAACGATTGTGGGTTCAACGGGCCAGCGGTCCTCTGTCGATCGGTTCTTCCCATAGTGCTTTGCCACACATAAGGGTCAGATGAGGATGACGTATTTAGACGACATGCCGCCTTGTATCCTTGAATCACGCCGCGCGGGTACACTGGTGGGTCCCAGGCTATCGTCACGGTCTCTCTAGCAACGGATGTAAAACGGACACGAGAAGGGGGACCTGGACCTGAAAATTGCAAAACAGGTTACTTTGAGTTGCCAACGATGAGCGTTGGTGAAAAAAAAAAAAAAACCATATAGAACGAATGACTTTTAACAAACAAAGGTCATTTTAAGAGAGAGCACTCTACTCCAGCTGTCACTCGTCCCATGAGAGCACATCCACTGCTCAAGAATTATACAACAAGTTAACGTATCACGAAGAGAAGATCTACAGCTTTAACAATTTAAGATCGCACCACAACCTTTGCTATAACACTTCCCTTGCAACGTGACCGTTTTCTCTTTGAGACATTTTACTCCTCAAGAGTTCTCCACCTCTCTAATATTAATTTCCGACCCTGACGCGATTTACAGGTTTTCACCAAACACTATTGTTATATGCACTTGGTTAACTCATGTTATACAGAGCTGGACTGTTGTGTGGAAGGTCGAGGATCCAAGCTCCACACCGGACCATCAATAAGACTCGTAAATTAACGGAAGAGAGAGTGCTGCCTTTGCCATGACATCGCAAATTGTTAGACATTCTGGTCTTCTCGGACAAGGACAAACCGTAGGCCCTGCCTATCTCCTGCATCTTCTCTGTACTGGTTAGCAGCGGACGTTAAAGAACCCACGCACTTCTCACAAAGAGAAGGTAAAAGATAACATAGCTCCCGGTGTTTTGATCTGGCCTTGTCATTGCTTGCACAGTCCCTCAATTAAACCAGTTTTAAAGCTGAAATGGGCCAGCCTGTCTAACACTGCACATGAATAAATTTGCGCTTTCTTTTGCAGTCAGCATAACCACTTAAATCTAAAATCGTTGCCCTTCCATCAACTTGCCTAACACCTGTCAAATCCAAAACCGTTTATCTGGTAATTTAACTTACTGGACGATAAAGTGGTGGCTCTGACTGCAGCGCTTCTTGGTCCATTCCCAATTCTGGTGTACGCAAGGATTTGGAATTCATAAGTGACAAAGCTTTCCAGTCCCGTCAGAGAGGAAGAGAGGACGAGACCGTTAATGACCTCCTTCTCTTTCTCCGTGTTCTGTTTCCCATAGATACGGTAGTATATCTAAGAGGACAAAAAAAAAAAAGATTGTCTCTAGTTTTTGCACTAATCAGTCTCCCGAAGAATTCCGAGGAATACTAGAAACCCTTCCTAGATTGCGGAAAATAAGATGACCTGTACTTTTTTAAATTCCACTTCATACAAATTTACTGAGTTACAGGTCAAAGATATCATCTATTTTAGTGTCAAACAACAACGCTTATTTACTCTAAGGATTCATGATTTATTCCCGTTGATGAGGTTGTAAAAGAAATCTGCCATTTGATTATTTGGGTAGTGGCAATTATGAGCATGTACTTAAAAATCAAGATGACGTTTTTAAGTATTTGACATGGGCACAGTCGAAAACAACAAAATGAAGAACAAACAAACAAACAAACAAAGCAAAACTAAATGCAAAAAGGCCGAAATTTAAGAGAGAAATGTCCGGTATTAACTGTACCTTGTATCCAAGGATTACACCATTTCGTCCCACATCAGATACTTGTCCCCATGTGAGTCTAACAGATGTGGCGCCTGTTACTAAGGGAGTAAGACCCGTTGGCGCTAAGGACGGAGCTGAAACAAAAAGACTCAGATTTTAATCCTTTCAACCTATAAATCAGTATTTAAATTGGCACAACGCCTTTAAAGCGCAGGATATGCCTAACAAACAAGAAATCATTCTATACATGCGGTCTTACCGTCTTCTTGCGTCCAGGCCCAGGCTACTGCACTGCCATTGCTGGCTCCTTTTCCATTTAGATTGTAGGACCTCACGGAGACCTTGTACCGTTTGTATCTCAAAAGGCCTCCGGCTCTGTAGTAATTTAACTGACTGCTTGGAAATCTATTCTCAAACGCGAAACTGGGAGCTCCTTCTGGTTCAAAGCGTAGTATGAATCCTATAAAGTCACTATTCCAAGTGTCTTGGGGTGGAATCTGAAGGATGTGAGCAGACATTGTGGAATTTTCAATTTTATCAAAATTACTCGGGAATTGAGTTAGTTTTCCTTCATTATGCGTTGTTGGGCAAGGTAAATTCACGCTTGTTCTCTCATAAAAAAAAAGGATCATTTTGAAACTTACCTTCCATCTCAGCTCCAGTCCATCTTTCCCGAGCGGAAGCAAAGTCAAATTGCTTGGGGGGAGAGAGGGTGCTGTGGAAGAAAATAGCATAGCTTAAACAAATGCTCTGGTTGTAACACCGGCGAAGATGAGAACACAAAATAATTAAGAACACCAAACGTTGTACCCGATGTTTCAAGAAGACACTAATTGATAAAATAAGTGAGCAATGAATGAAGGCAAAAAAAAAATCTCATCGACAAGATCCGAACGCATCAACTTTCTTGACAAAAGTCGGGTGCTCTCAAAACTAATCTATACAATGTGCCTAATTAGGCCATTTTTTTTGGCTCTTATGTGGTGCGGCTAGGGGCAAGACCTGAGCTGAGTGCACGTGCGGACGAAAACAACCCTGGTTGCAAAGGTAGGGAAATAAGTCAAGTTTAGTTTCCGACATATAATGGATCCGATTTGATGACACCATCAAGTTTCCTTACCAGTTTCCAGCGTTCTGACTGTATCCGTTGGGGAACTCGGGCTGCTGCTTCCCACTTTGTTTGTGGCAATGACTCGGAACCTGTAGTCTCTGTAAGGTTTGAGATGTGGTAGTTCGAGGGGAAGCAAGTTCCATACGAGGTGAGCGTCACGAACAATCGTCAGTGTTTTCCAGCTTGAGGATGCTGGATCATAGTAGGTGTCGTTGTTGTACTGTATGGTGTAGGTCAGTATAGGGGCTCTGCCAGATGATCCAGGGGTAAAATCCAACACCACCGAACGGGCCTTCGCTTCTACGATCTTTAGGTTTTGTGGAACACCGGGTTTGACTGCAATGGAATATGTCGTCCATACGTTTTAGTCCAGTATATCAATGCTCAAACTCTGAGAAAAAACAAAGGTCTGCTCCCTCCAGTAGCAAGCAATATGTTACGCTGGTAATTTGGTATTATCAACTAAGTTGATCCTGTAAATTGGCGACAGTTAGTTTGCGATATCTATCCCACAGACTCTGTGAACCAGCAAAAGCTCAAAATTCTAGGCTCGGCGCCGCAAATATTTAATAACTAAGGCCTCGTATTTTTATTTACAATGTACTATTAGGCATTTTGTCAAGCGGTAAGATCGTAAGGTAGAGTTCCAGATTAAAAACACTATAATTATCTTCCGATATTAAAATAAAATACTCGACAGCTTTTACTTACCGGGGGATGCCGTAGTTTTCGCCACCAATTGTTTACTTGTACTTGCGCCCACTCGAGTCTCAGCGGACACCTCGACAACGTACGCAGTGTTGGCTCCCAATCCTGTCACCGTGTGTGATAAGGTTTCGTTTGAGACCCGCGTCGTTTGACCGCTGCTTGAGAGTGTATTATTTCGCCAGTGTTTCACCAAATACGCCGTAAGAATACCGTTCAGTCGCAGAGGTGGGTCCCAGCTCACTCTCAAAGCGTCCGCGTAGACTTCGGAGACTGTGAACGAACGAGGCGCGTCTGGAACTGTGGGAGGGTAAAATTAATAACAATTATTTTCATGGTTATCCAAAATGCTTCGAGCACTATTATCTAGTATTCCAATCATCTGAACGTTTGAAACATTTATAGTCTGCTCGATGAAACACCTACCTCCTTCCTCGGTCTTGATAAGTTTGGTATCAGACCTTGGACTGTCTCCGGCGCCATTGTAGGCCACCACAGCTATAGTGTACTGGGTGAATTTTTCCAGTCCACTCAGGATTCCCTTCTGAGTAGCGGCCGTGTCGTCATGATCTGTCACCCGTTGGTAAATATTGCTGGGTGTGCTTCCCTTCCACGCTTGGAGCTGTGGAATAAAAAGTACAAGCGGAAAGCAAGTAAGATCGCGTGCCTCGATGATAGAAAGAAACTTTTAATATTTATAGTTACAGAGATCTTGTTTTGTGCTTAGTCGTACACCATTGAAACGTAGCAAATGTCCTGCCTGCTGCTAGAACAAGACATATCTGTAAGCATCGCATTTGGATGCGAGAGGAAAAGATGATTAATTCTGCGCCCAATCGCCGACTTTAGAGAGAGAAAACGTTTAACAACAGCAAGGAACAAACAATTGCTCTTCTCATACCTTGTATCCTTTTATTCGTCCATTTTGTTGCTTTTGCGGTGGAGGTTTCCATTGTAAATATACGCTGATTGTGGTAATGTTAATCACTTTGACTTCCCACGGTGGAGCTGTAGGCACTGTAAGAACATGTAATGGGGTGGGGATGAGTGAGAGCGTTCAAATCCAGTTTTAAGCGTTCCTTTTTTCGACAATTGTCACTAATTTTGAAATAAAGTCCATAAGAATAGTGAATGTAATTTGGGCAGTAACTCATCTGAAAAAAGCAGTGCCTGATCTGGAAAAAGCAGTGAATTCCTTTTATGAACAGAGCGGCCTGACCAACCAGTTCTGATATTTGCAAATCTCTGCAACCAATTTCGAAACGCAGCGAAATTTGCGATAAGTTCGAGATCACTATCAGTAGAAAATTAAGACAGTCTCGCTGTTCATAAATCAAAGCTGTAACAGATCGGAAACTATCATAATGCAGAGTTGGAAATGCTATCTGTCACTGTGCGAAAAAGTTCTAACAGATGCGACGATAGGTTCCATTACCAGCCACTGTTCGGCAACCGGAGTCTGCGCTCCTCCGGTAGAACGAAAAAGACTGGTCCCGAGAGAAGAGCGAAAACCGAGCCAAATGCGAGTACGTCAGGATCAAAAATCATGTAGAACTTACGCCCTTCTGCTGTGGTGACTGTGATTGGTTGACTGTACACCCCATCTCCTGCGTCATTGTAAGCCCGCACTTTAATCTCGTAGGCAGTCCACTGCAGCAGTCCGTCGATGCTGCCTTGGGTAGCAGAAGAAATTTCAATCTTTCTTATAATGAAGCTACTTGCTGAAACGCCAGCCAGACGGTAGGCGATTTTGAAACCACGCAACGGACCATTGTGTGTTTCCGGAGGAGGAATCTGAAAACGGAAATTAAAAGAATAAAATAAATGGAAATTGTACAAGCTGTAAATAAAAAAAAATCCAATAGAAGAAGGCGAATATTTTTTTAAGAAGCAAACAGGCTGAAGACACTTACTTGCCATTGCACGAGTATAGAATCAGCGCTTGTTGGAGCTCCACTGACGCTTTGTGGAGCCGCAGAAGGCGCTAAAAGAAAGAAAGTTAAGATTATCGTTAGCAAAAGTTCTGATCTTTCCGTAGATTACCATGACGATTGCGTGAAATCGGTAAATCGGGCAGCTTTTGGATAATTTTCACAGCTTACGTAACCCTTCACACCCTAAGATTCTTTAGTCGGTGATTATTTCCTTTATTCTCCTGACCTTAATGTGTGATTCAGGGGTGATATTGTAAGGAGAAATTAGACGCTAGTCACTCTTAGGACTCAAGAGATTAAAACTCTCCAATTGAGGAAAACTTCCAAATTATGGTTTACCCCAAACAAAGAAGAACGGTCCGACCATATTCAGTTACCTGATATCAGTGTCCTTATAACTCCAGACGCCCCACTAGGTGCGCCCTCTCCGACTTGATTGACAGCTCTCACGCGGAACTGGTACTGAGTATGGGGCGACAGATTACGGACAACGACTGACATCTGTCTATCAGAAGGATTGATGTCATCCCTGGCAAGTTGCCAGTTATTGGAGCCCTTTTTGGCCTCGATTTTGTAAGAAATGATGGGGCTGTTACCACTGTATCCCGGTGGAAACCACGATAACCGAACTGAGGTCGTTTTGACGTCACTCACCACTGGGGTGGTGGGTGCCAATGGTATTTCTGGCAAAACAGAAGAGTCTGTGAGCATTTTTTTAGGCTGGAAAACAAGGCTTCTCCAGGTGAAATTGTTTTAAAGCAGTTCCCCATAAACGTAAGAGGAATAATTTGGGAATACCTTAAGAAAACAAGGCTTCTCGAGGTGAAATTGTTTTAAAGCAGTTCCCCATAAAAGTAAGAGGAATAATTTGGGAATACCTTAAGAAAACAAGGCTTCTCGAGGTGAAATTGTTTTAAAGCAGTTCCCCATAAAAGTAAGAGGAATAATTTGGGAATACCTTAAGAAAACAAGGCTTCTCGAGGTGAAATTGTTTTAAAGCAGTTCCCCGTAAACGTAAGAGAAATAATTTGGGAATACCTTAAGAAACGTGATGAACAGTAATTTCTTTGTTTGACGACCAAAGAGACGTTCTTAATGATGTAATCCAGTGTTTCATGACGCTTACCTTGAGATAGAAGCCAAGGCGAACTTGTCTTGATCAATGATCACTAATTCGTATGCCTCAGCCAACTTATAAAACATTATACATATCCCTCAGTTAGCTTTCGCATTCGAAATTGGAGATGGTTTAGGCAAAAAGTCCAAGAAAAGGTAAAATGATGTGCAAAAATAAAGTTGGTCGATAAACACAGCACAAAATAATTCTGCATCTCAACCTCTTTTCTCAAGACAATATGCTTTCAATGCCGGTAAGATTGCAAGAAATAAAAAAAAAGCTCAATTCAACAGAGGATACATGAAACAACCTTTTCTGGGGGAAATTAAGAACCAAAATAACGCTCCGTTGAAATCAGCGATCTTTTGTAACTTTGGACACAACACAAATAAGAGAAAAAAAAGGTAAATAAACGTGCATAAGTTACCGAGAACGCTCAACTGTCCAGTAGTGCTGGCGTTTCCCGCTTCAGACTGTACCAAGCACGTGTACGAACCAGCGTCCTGCTGTTGCGCAATGACTATGCGTAGCGTTCCATCGCTTTGCACCTTCATCCGGGATACATCCACTGCAGATCCATCTTTGGTCCAAATCCACTTGACTGATATATCCGGGTCTTTTTGGACCCCGCACGGAAGAAGTTTCTCAATTCCTTTGATGGCGTTTATTTGACTTGGCAATGGATTGACGATAACAGTTTTGACTGCAATAACCAAACAGAAGTGGTTTTCATTGGATTGTTAAAACAGAAAGATTGCTGCAAAACTGTTTAACGATCGTAGCGAGAAATAATAAATAATAGCACTCCTCGGCGAGGAGCGTTTGCTAATCCTTAAAGCCAACGGATTAAAACCAACTTTGTTCTACGACATGTGCGTTCCCGTGCGCGCTTTTATCGAGAATCATTACAAAAAGTCCCTAAATGAGGGCCGTACGCAATGGTGTAAGCTGAGCCGTAAAAAGCCCTACGACCCCACGAGTTGCGAGCGGAAAAAGGAATTAGAAAAAGAAAGACAGATGGTACTGTGATCAAATGCTTCTTGACTACCTTGGGTCGTACAGAAAAATCAGTATTTAGTTCTCGGTCACGACGCACGGACATAGCACAAATGTTCTCCCGCCCATCCCACCCACTCAGTCAAAAAGTACAGTACCGCTCAGATATACTTTGATTACGCACACGCATTTCATACACTCAGACGCAAGGTAGTCAGACGCACATCTACGATTTTTACGCGCGCACGGACGAAGAAAATGCGCGACTCATGTCATTCATTACTGTATGTTTCCTTTGTGTTACAATGTTATGCGAAAATTTTACGCATATTTTTTTTTTTATTCGCACTCACAAGCGATTTTTGGCGTGTTTTATGAGCATTTTTTGGTTAAAATATATCCGAGCGGTACTGTACAACCCATGTACATACTGTAGTACCGTCGATTAAACTTACTTAACACTCTCAGGGAAGCGTTAGCCCGCTTGGAGCCAATGCTGTTGGTCGCTACACATGTGTATTTTCCACTGTCACTCTTCTGGCTTCTGCTAATCTGCAGTGAGCCAGAGGCCTTCTGGAAATATCGAGGATTATTGGCGAAGTTGATGTTCTGGTCATTTTTCTGCCAGGTTACTGTTGGCGATGGATTTCCTCGGCCCACACACTCTAACTCCACAGTGTCATTGACCACTGCGTCTGTGTTCTTTGGTGGAACATCTATCCATACAGGTAACTCTGCAAAATACAACGCATTTAACGTTACCTTCATTCTCAATTATCAATCCAATCGCGTCGCGCATTCATCATTTATTAGTTTTCCCCATGTTAAAGTTAGTCTTTGAATCTAGCAATCTGATGAGTGAGTTTTGAGCGCGCCGCACAAATTATGGCAGCTTAGTCAATATTCCTGGTCCGGGTTGTTCATAGGTGGGTTAAGATAACCCAGGGTTACCGTGAAATTTAATTGAAGATCTGAAAACTTTAAAATTAATTTCACTTTAATTCCATTTGTTTACAATTTGTTGATTGAATGCTCTAAGAAGAATTTGGAAAATTATTTTAAAACGTCTTTTGAACAGAGATATATAGAAACCTGGATTCAAATTTAACCCTGGGTTAGCGCTAATCGGTCTTCGAACAACTCGGCCCTGGTTGATACGCTTCTTACCTTTAACACCCAACAAAGCTTTTCTTAGTATCTCGCCTGCATCGTTGGTTGCCGCGCACTGAACGGTGCCTTTGTCACCCGATTGAAGACTGATGAATGTCAAGTCATTTTTACTGTTAATCTGAACCCTTCCCGTGGTCGAATGGGGAACCTTCTGTCCGTTATGAAACCAAGTTATCTTTGGTGTTGGAGTGCCTGTCGCACTGCATTTAAAAGTCACCGATTCTTGGGGATACTTGTCCGCCATCGTTGGAGTAACTGTAAACGTGGGCTTAACTGAAAAACAAATTGGATAACATAATTAAAACTGCTAAGAATGCAATTGAACAAGTTTGAATAGATAACCGAAAGTAAACCGCACTGGCAAGGGTTTTGCTTCACGGTGGTCTCTGATTGGTCTAACAAAATCTCGTGCCACCCTCTCAATCAATCAGATACAAACTAAATTCAAAGGTGACTTGGCCACTGGTGTTTTCCCGCGCTCGCGGCATTTCACTTTGAATTCCTAGAGTCTCCTTAAAACATTTCCCTTTGTTCTGATTAGCCGTTGCAATCACTCTGATAATTTTGGTTTTTACAACATTCAGTCCAATAAACTCTATACTCGATACTATTCACCTCATCTCTCGTCAAGATGTTTAATTTCCGACCATTTTTCGGTTTATTGAAAGAAATAAACTTATTTTTTGGCGCCTGCGTGGTATATACTAGGAACAATTATTCACCTCAGTTTCCGTGAAAGTGGCGGATATTTACCGAGCCGCAAGGTACTTAATTGGTGAATAATTGTTAAATTGTTACATATTAAACAAGTAAAGATTAATTTGAACTTTATTTACTTATGCTTACCAATTATTGCCAAGTTTGCACTCTTGCTTTTATAGAAATTTCTGCTGTTAGTTACTCGACATTCATAGGCTCCTTCATCAGATACAGTTGGATTGTAAACAGTAAGTCTCTTTTTGTATGTACTAAAAGAAAATTTTGCACTCTGTGTAATCACTTGCCCTGCCTTCCTCCAGGATATCGTGGGCATAGGACTGCAGCATAAAAAACAAATAAAAATATTCAATAAGGATTTTTAAAAAATAAAAAAGGGGGAATTCGTAATTTAAGAGGAGAAATAAAGAGAACTATGAGGCTGAGCCAGAAATTTCAAAGTGGACCTGATTTTTCAACGGCACTCAAATTATGTCAACTATCTCTAGTTTCCACAATCTAAATTAACTCTAATTTTAACCCTTTAAGTCCCAGAAGTGATTGAAAGGTAACTTCTCCTTATAATAGAGAGATTTAGCACCGCGTTGACGTGAAACGGCCAACGTCAGCTTGCCCTTTCACGTTTCACGTAACATGGCGTGATCCTTGCAGCTTTAGCTTCGCTTGAGGTAACGTCATGTTGGATTTGAAAGCGCCCTTGTATGACTCACAAGGAATAGTTTAGCAGCGCCCTCTATCCGGGAACTAACTTCTACTCTGCGAGGGAAAAAAGTGATGAAAATTTTACTTACATGGCAAACGCGAAACAGGTTACTTTCACGCAGAAACGGCAAAGGGCAACCGGCAAACGTGAAAAAATGGCGGGAAAAACAAGGTCATTTAGTCACTCTTGCCGTTCACGTTTCACGTAAACGCGGTGCTAAAAACTCTCTAATATCCTTTCATTTTCCAGCAAGCAGGTGAACAGAATACTCCAACTTATTAGGTAGAAGTTGTTACTTTATATCTTGATCTAACACCAAACTCTCCTAACCGATTTACAAAGAAATGTGTAGCAGCTAGAGGGGAGAATTAACAAACAGATTTTGGGAGTTTAAGAGTTTTGTGAGCCCTGGAGCTAATCTGGGAATTTCTGTTTCATAGCTTCATCTACCAAGACATTAGTACATAAGTTGTTATCAATTAAACATTTAATAAGTCCTAAAATCTTCACCTTCCACTTGCAAAGCACTCAAACGTGACACTGTTTGTCTCTCCCGCTGTAGCCTTCTGACTTGTGGGGCCAAGAATGATATATGGTGTATCAGGTATGTTTCCACTTGCTGCAAATGAAAGCATGTTTAAAAGAAGTATAATTTTTTTAAGTTGGTTACATGTAATCAGAGGTGGTAAATCTTTTTTCTTCGCTCAAAATTTGCCGTCTTTCATATTCTACAGTCATGTAGTTGCTGATATTTTTCTGTTTCCCTCAGTTTACTTGTTCAACAAAAGGACTTAAAATAACATAACATCTAATTCAGGTCATTGAAAATTTTGAGATAATATACCCATTTTTAACCGTTTAATATCTCAATACAATATCAAGCAGAAAAATGAAGAGAATAAAGAAAAATATCAATCAAGGGATTATTAGTTGATCCAATACCAAATTCTCCAAACAAACATCATAAGAATTGTGTGGCAGACAGTAAAGAGAATCACTAATTAGATGATGAGGGTGAAATGATTAATTAAGAAGGTCAACAAATTGTTGCAACAATTTCAGCCAAACTGGCAGGTGGAAATCAAAAACCACCATGCAGTTAAAACTGAAATTCTACTAGTCTGTGGCTAGTTGGCTACCGTTAGTGTCGAGCCCTGCCTAGTTAAAACATGTCTATGTTTCATTTACATGATTACTTACCTGTCACACTGACTGTTAACGGACCTCTGCTAAATGACTGGCCTCCATTCTCAACTCTTGAATAGTAGGTACCTACATCATTCACTCCCACGTTTCCAATATAAATGTTTCCTTCAGTAGAAAAACTGATACGTTGCGTCTCAGATATAGAGCTGCCACTTTTTGTCCATGTAATTGTTGGCTTTGGAAAGCTTTGTACAATGGGGTACTCATAGGTGAGTTCACCCCCTTGAAACACACTGCGCCTAGCAGTGGTATCAACATTTGGTGTTTTTTCTAGAACTTTAAGGAAGAGAAATTGAAAATAAAAAATTTATGACTGATATAAAGCATTCAAAACTAAATCATATCAAGTGAAATTAACTGAGCCCAAGAACTCTAATCTACAATTACTGTCATTTTCCTTCACTTCCTTAAAAATGAAAATTCATTCTAGAAATACTGGTATGCTGTTCAAAAGGTAAATGAAAAAAAAAAGGTTACTTTTCTAAAAAAAAATTGCGATGCTGCATTGGCGGAGGGTACACTGTATAATTTATTACAAAATAATTTGGTTTTATCGACTGAGTTGATAAATAAATGTAAATTGGCCACCATACAATGTTTCTACAACTGACATTTCAATTGATAGCCCTTCACCAGAGCAAAGGCAGTGCCACTTACATGAAACTTGGATTTTTAATCGTGTAGACCTTGTTCTTCCAGCTGGATTCCTTGCCACACAATAGTAGTAGCCATCGTCTAGAGTGTGATTGAGACTGTTTATAACAAGCTGACCTGTGCTTGGTTGATGACTATGTCTACCGGATGAAACATCCTTAGCATTGCCCTCAAAATCTGTTGCCAGCCACTGGTAGCTGAGGGGCATATCTCCTGTAGCTGAACAATGAAGTGTTACACTGCTCCCTTCATAAAAGCTTGAAGGAGTTTTTGTAACACTGGAAATAGTTGGAGGGTTTTCTAAAGGGACAGAAAAAGTGTCCATTTGTTGAGGTATTTCATCAACAAGACAAGCAAATGTAAAAATGTTAATAGAACACAACTGTTCTGAACATCACTAGAAAACACGAAAATGCAGTAAAAAAAAAAAAACAAAATCCCTTCAAGCTTGACCCTATATTACCTGATAAAAAACTCTTCTACTGATTCCCTAGCAAGGTAGGTTAAACGATCAATATTCATGCCATAGGCCAACTTTCAGAACTTTTGCTTTTTTCACTTTTCTCTTTAATTTTTGATGCACCCTTAGAACTGACACAGAGTGGTACTCTTAGAGGTTTTGTTAAAACTGAATAAAACAAATTACATGCTAGAGTGCACTTGTCTTCTGTGGAAACAATGTCTAGACCCACGTGTTAATACATCCCCACACAATTGAATCCTGTCAAAGAATAACACAATCTTTGGGATTTTATCACTCTCAAAAAAGAAGAGAAACTAAAACACCAAATTTAACAAAGTTAACACCAGGTTCTGCAAAAGATAATAGACATTTTGGCTAATGTGTTCAGCAAGTGTTTATTAGCAATATTGATGTGACAGATTTAAATTTGGAAAGGGTAGATCATGAGGTAAGCTTAACACGCATCTGACCACAAAGAATGACTGCTATGCATGATTTTTCCACTCAGTTTGGCTTACCAAAATGATGTATAACAGAACTTTGCCATAACCACATTTTCATTGCCAACATTTCCATCTTTCACTAAACGACCATTGAATAATAGTATGATTGCATCTTGATTAAATTAAATACCACATTTATTTTAAACATTGAAATAAAAAAAAAAAAATTGAGCTTCATTGACCTTTTGATATCCTCTTTAAACACTTCACTGAGGGAAGTGTTTCTCATTCCAGTTTGGTGACATGCACATTACTCAGCACTTTAGGAAGTCCGCAACAATTTGTGTCAGTCATGATTGCCATTAAGATATAAAATCTTTAGTTAATATTAATAAAAAAAAGTTCAAATATCTTCATGTCTTCCTCACCCTGGATAGACTGTTATATAATCACTAGACAAATGACTAGACAAAGTAAATTCTCTTAACAATTTGTGACCTAAAAGCTACAAAAGGTTTTTAACCGTACAACCGGTCATACTTCAAGATGTCAGACAATTACAAGCTGCTTGCATTGACTAATTAGCATGTCCAAATGACCGGCTATGAACAAAATCCAGAAAGACAATTAAGATATATTAAACCTCTTTAATTAACAGAACCAACTTACATGTATCAGGACACACAAGACAATTTGGTTTTATCAACTGAGTTGATACACATAAATGTAGATTGGCTACCATCACAAGAATCAGCTCTTTAACAGAGCGACTCATTACACACACAGTGTAGATTGATTTTTTCTATATCCTTTAGCAAATCAGAGACTTCTTCATTTTATTGTCATTCCTTATCATTTGTTATTTTACTGGCTCACTGTGGTGGTTAGAGCAAGGGGCTTGGCAATGGTTCAATAAAGAATCAGATTATTCAAGTTTAGTGAATATAACTACATGTATGGAAGCCTACTGTTCCTTTTCAGCCAATGAAAACCTTATAGTTTGAAGAACTGAAGGTTTAAACATCATAAACTTCAGTAAAATATTCATACTGTAGATGATTTTATTAATTGGTCGCTTTTCCCGGGCAAATTTTTGTCAAACAAATCAGTCACAACTTGGCTTCTTCTGCAAATCTAACAGTCCAAACTGTCACAGGCAAGTACATTAATTAATGATTTCATCACAAGACAAAATCAACTACATTAGTTGGGCTTAGATTTCCTTTCTTTACATTTTATCTTGAAAATTAAATAATCAACACATTACATGAAAAAATTTATTTTAACTAACATTTGATTCACAACTGAACTACATAGAGTTCTAGGATTATGTGTATTTTACATGATAATAATATTGACAGAAAAATATCTGGGATGCTTATTTGACAATCTTTAAAAGATCCGTACACAAATCATTTTACATCTTGGTAAGGTATCAAATCTTCAAAATATTGTAATGACTTAACAGATTGCTCGTCTACAATAAAAGTGAATCAAGCTGAACCAATCAAGACAGACTGTGGTCTGATAAAGATCTCTGTTACGCATCTAACGGATGTACTTTTTATATTTTATTCATTTTGAGACTGAATTGCCATGCAGAAAGGCAAATACTATCATTGGAAAATCAAGGTTTTTGTTTTTTTTTTTGCATTTTTCTCTTGACAAAATAAAAAGAAGAGTTTCTTTGTTTCGAGATTTAACTGCACGGGTTTACAATGAATTTACCGTACCACTATCTGAAACATAGCCAACAATAGATGTGCGATTATAAATTCTGCTATTGTGTAAATGTGTTAAAATCAGCTTTAAAATCGACACCTTTACTTTAAAAAATCAACAATTTCTGACTTTCTTACTTCATCTCATGTCTGAAGAAAAGAAAACATCACGCAATATGATGAGGTGTTCGAATGAATATTTTGTGCGGCAGCTGTAGTGACAGCTACAAGGGGTAACAATGTACACACAACCGCTAATATTTTGCCACAATTCATTAGTCACAAATCCTTTTTAGAAATTCTTAAATCTTCTTTAGGTAGATTACTTTCCCAGAACGAAGATGATTTAAATATATCAAGATACGTAGGCAAGCATAACTAGCCACGTACACTATATTTCGCAGCAACAAGACTGACTCTTCTTAAATTATATTGAATTTTAATTCACCTCCGACTGTTACCAATAGACCGTGAGAGTACCTTGCTGAGACAAAAAAATCGAGGGCTTTAAGAGTTTATAAAAGACGAAATTTTATAAAAACGCCATCTAAGTCGTAAGCTTACTTCAAAATTTAAAATTCTATCGCGTTTATGTCTGTAATTAGGTTTCTTTCCGCCCCGAGACAAATCACGCGAAGGGTTAGTAGAGAAGACTTCACTCGCTTTGTGCACTGCACCGGTATCTAATATCGAACCGACGCCCAAAAAATTGGAAAAGGAAAAAGATGTGCCAAATAAAAGAGGACAAAGTTTGCTTTTGAAATTTTATGTTTACTCCAGGTGTCAAACGAACACAGAAATACGACATGGCCTTTCAAAAGCTCTCATATCACAAATTATGCAAATACTGCTCTATTTTATGAGGCTTCAGTTGTAGTTTCGACAGAGCTGTTAAAAAATGAAGGAAGGGAAATTTGAAATCGATGTGATTATTTTTAACTTGCATTTTCGTTTGAGGGGATCGCTAAAAAAGGCTTAATTTGATTGCACAGTTAAATGGGGCATAGAAATTTTACTAGGTTACAAGCATATCAACATTAAGTTATTTAACTCCCAAAAAAACTATCTTACCTGCTTTCACCGCGATCCAACAAATGAGAAGCAAAAAAAGTCTGCTTTGTTGGGGAATCATAGTAATCTGCGATCAATGTAAGTTTGATAATAAGGCTGCGGACAAGAGTGTGTTTTCCATCAATCAGAACGTAAGATAAGCCAAATGATTCGATTCAACTAAGGCTTCCTTTCCGCGTTGTCTTTGCCAACGAACAAAGTCCTGTAAATCGCACGAGGAGCGAATGCAGGTTTCAATTGGCTAAACTTCAGAATACCCGGCCACATCATTTACATGTCATTGAATAAGAATAGCGTCTATTGTGTTATACCTCACTCTTCAAAGCCTCCCGACATATGTAAATGATGTGGACGGGTATTTTGAAGTTGCTCCCAAACAATAAAAGTCCTTGCAAACGCAGTGATGTACGCCTAGAAGAGTCAGCATGTACGTCAGCATGTACGTCGGCATGTACGTCAGCATATACGTCAGCATATACGTCAGCAAGAGTAATTAACGACTTCCTCAGTTCGCGTGCTCGACAAGCGTCGAATAATCAGAAATACGGCTGACTTCGTGTGGAATACTTACATCATATGACATTTCCTAAAACCCTGTTGGTTTCCTGGAACAAAGTGATAATCTTCTCGATGAAATTCCGCTACTAACATCTTTAATTTCTATATCTTGAGAAGCTTTTAGATGTTTTTAATGTGTCAAATATTGGATGCATGGTTTTACACCATTCAAATGTAAATATTTTGTTTTTCCAAGGTACAATGAAAAGAGCTTGATTTGAAAAAAGTTTTGATTGTCGTATAATCCTTCTATTGTTCAAAGTCGCCAAACCGTGAGATCATATTTTTTAATAATTAACCAATCCCAACACTCAGTATAATTCACGTGACCTCTGGCCTTTGTTGTGCTTTGTGAATGAATTAATATTATCACTTTGTTCCAGGAAACCAACAGGGTTTTAGGAAATGTCATATGATGTAAGTATTCCACACGAAGTCAGCCGTATTTCTGATTATTCGACGCTTTTCGAGCACGCGAACTGAGCAAGTCGTTAATTACTCTTGCTGACTGCCTCCAAGTGGGCGTACATCACTCCGTTTGTAAGGACTTCTATTGTTTGTGCAGCGAGACTTTGGCCTAAAGGAATAATTCAGTTGATACAGAAAGCATCAACAGACCTCATACGGAGCCGGTGGTTGAACTTTTGACTTCTTAGTGTAACTTTAAGGCAGAGTTTATTGTTATTCCAATCTGTCTCCATCTGTGATACGAAAATATTCCTGGGAAAAAACCGCCAGACCGTTAATTAAGATTGTATAGATTACCTGCAAAAATATTTAGTAGAAACAGTTACCTTTCAAAACAAAACTTATGCGACATGAGAAACCAAATTTTTGGAAGCGTCAAAGTAAGTGAAATTTCGACGAAGCAGAGTTTCAGGATCGTTCTCCAGATAACGTTTTCTACGCAAAGCAAGGTGAAAACAAAGCCGAACAAATTAAATCGGCTCTTTGGAAATGGAGAATAAAGACTCCGTAAGAAACTTTGCCCAGGGGATTTACTCAAAGGAAAGCCCAGATTAGCATTTTGATCTCTCCCAACGACGTGCGCGCTTTACTTGTGTCTGGAAGTGTGACACAAGGCTTTTTTTTCTTTTAAGCGTGCCGGCAGTATTAAGGTTCAACAAAAGTCGTGAGGATCATGATGATATATATATAATACGTGTAGACAAAATCAGCCAAGATATCCGCTTTTAGAAAGGTTCCGTAAAATTAGGGAAGCAGATTTGAGCAACCCTGCAAGTAAACACATATGATTGGTTCCTCTACCGCGTCCTGATTCCTTTACTCGTTTCATTCCATAATTTCCAAGGCAGACATCGTTAGCCTGGTTTCACTCTCCAGTAACCTTGCGATGTTTTGCAACATTTTTATGACCAAACAAAATTCCCTTGATCGCAGAAACAAACCTCACCAAACCAGAAGTTTTAGGGTACAAAATAGTTATGGTTAAGAAGTGCTCAGAATTTGCCGAAACAAAACCGGAATGGCAGAGAGGACATGGCATTCCTCAATATATAATGTAACCACAGCGTTGCTTTCGTAGCTTCATTACCCCTTTCATTCCCCAGGTCCAAATCTCAGTTCCCCCCAAATTCTCGCATATGCATTCTTTGGGATTTCAGTTCTGAGAATTTAATGTTTAATCAAACAATATCCTTTAGCTGATATTTTTTCTTCCAATTTCCTTTCTGCTCGCCGGAAGTGGTCATTCACAGGGGTGAAATAGTTCAGTACGAGAATGGACAGAATGCCCGAAGCTCATTATCTGTGATCGATTGAAACCAGCTGCATCTGCTGGCCCAGTACCATCGCAGTATAAACAAGATTCTTTTTGTCTGTGTGCTGTGTGTCGATCGAGCCCTTAATCTGGAAGAATATGACCTATTTTCACCATCCATTTTGAGATACCTTATTTGTACCCGGCTTTGTGGATAAATCTTAAACATCAGTGACTTAGGTTGTAGAGAAATTTGTCGTTCACTCAGCTGGGATAAAACAGCATCAATAATAGTTACCTTTTTTTGTTTTGCTTTGTCTTTTAACGGAGCCGACATTTGCCTAAGGGGCCGGTAATTAAGGGAGTTGGAGCTACAGACTGATTTCATGGTACTCAAAACTCATGACTTTGTGTAGAAAGAAAAGGTTGTCATTCAAGTTGAAAATGAAGCGGATAAAATCGCCTACTTTGGTCTTAAATAGCATTAAGAAATCTAAAGAATTTCGTAAGCCAAAACTTTAGTTTTCAACAATGCCACCAAGAGGTAATAATTTGTTATGGGGTTAGTTGTCTAAGTTTCTAAAGAAATTGCGAAGCTGCGTCGGTGGAGGGTACTATTACAAGATCATTTGGTCGTATCAAGTGAGTTGATAATGTGAATTGACCACCGTAGTTTTAAGCGTTCACCCTCCGATTCTTCGCGCTGACGCAGTACTACCGCTCAAAACGACAAATTTAGGATCTCTTTAGGGTGCTAAATTCACGTTATCAACTCAGTTGATAAAACCAACTTATTTCATAATTTCTGCGCAGTGATTGTTGCAATTCTTTCACGAAAATTGAAGGCAAGCGGAAAGCGCCCCGAAGTCCATGCACAAAAACGGAAATCGCTTAAAACTTAAATAGGTTCATAACTGCCCGGTTGTGTCTGAAGCAGCAATAGGACACGCCAAGGATAAAAATTGTTAAATCCAGTGATCTCAGTTTTCCGGCTTTTCTCGCTAAAAATAACGACACGTTAACTTTCTACCTCGTCACCTGATAAAGAGTGTAGAAGTATTGCAGTCAAAACGTTGATAGACCGACTTTTACATCGTGAGACGAACGATGAAATGTTCATGTTTTCTATAACATTTCCCAGACTATATTTGATTTGCGATATTGTTTCCAAACTACTTATCACAACAAACAAATACAATACTTTCGACCATAATTTTAAAAACATATTCCGTCGCTTGATATTCAGTACAACCAAGAGAACATTCTCTTGGTACAATCTACTCTTTTGTTAAGAAGTTACCTAACAAAAAATGTATTGTTGTATTCTCTTTTTTCTTCTTTTCAGCAGAAACCTAACCGTATTTTGTACAAAAGCTTTAGTCTCCGTCGAGACACTGTATACGTCTCAAAGCATGAATCTGATGAAGAATAAGCTTTCCGTCCTATCTGGATAGAGATTAAAAAGGAAGATAAGATATGCGTATAAATGGTGACGGTACTCCTTGCTTCGGGAAGCTTTATTTATTTATTCTTTCTTTCATTGTTTCAAAATTAACCAGTACACCCTGAAAACGAGGCTTGGGGTTAAAAATGGCGTCTTATGTACTTAGTTCTTTGTAGGGTCATCAAGTTTGATTCCTCTCTCCCGCCTATCCGCGATACTTCAGTCTGAGAAATTATCGATCTGCCTCCAAATCTTCTGACAAATGCCTTTTTTTTCGTCGAAACTGTGGCTGCACTGCATACAAGGGTGGAGAAACTCACAGAAATGTTGCGCTAGACCAGCCTTTTATACTGCTACATTAGTCAAAACTGTGATTTCTTCAAGACTTGATACATCATATATCAGTTCCTTTTCAAAACTTGTCAACATGGCTCGAACCTTTCTTCAATTTCCTTCGAAGCCGTTACCTTTGAGTTATCCGTCTGCATTCCACTTCACAAGTTTTCATTTATTATTTACGTTTAAGACCCGCACAAATGAATAGAAAGGTAAAACCCAAATTATCATAAAACCTGTCTTGCTACAATCTTGAGGTGAAAAATATTAAATCAACCTGTCATTTGTGCGAGACATCAAGTACCTCCTGTCTTCTAGCCGATCTCCGAACTCAATAATTAACTCATCATGAAGCATCGGAGATATTATAGAGAAACTAATTTTCTGCCTTCAAGAGAACAACAAGGTTACGAGTGTTTTTATTTACATGGACAGATCTTCACCAACATTTTCGCAATCATAACTTTTAATTTAGTCACCGTGTTATTATTGTTTCCATCAGATCTGAAATATCAACTTTCTATTATATTTGTGTATCAACTTATATTTACAATTTAAAACAAATCACCCATGTAATTTTTATCTACAACCCAACTCACTTAATGAATATAAACGATCTTATGTTCGATACGGAGCCCATTTTAAGCGCAAAGCAAAACAATGATGTCACTGACGTAATTGCATCTGGGTGGAATTTTTGTCGAGATTTATTCCTCACTTTTTACATCGTCGTGTGTTCATATCTCGGAATCATTCATATCTTGGAATCATAAACATTACTGGTTGTTGATTTGTTGATAACGGAAAATTACTTGCGATCAGAATTGAAAAGCATTTATTTGGTCTTGTCGCTAATCAAATCCCTTGAAATCATTTATGAACTTCAGTCCGGTTTTTTCCGCAAAATGCACGTTTTCACTATCAAGATCTAATGATCAATTCTCCTTCATCACTGCTGTTTGTTTCTTATAATATTCGCTGCGAGAATTTGATGTTTGATCAGAAAACTTTAAGCGGTGATCGATTTCTGTTTGCTCTTGTCCCCTGGTTGCTTGTAAATGTGTTGATTCCGAAAGGAAAAATTATTTATTGGTTAGTAGGAAAAAGAGAGGGGAATAAAAGAACGGTTACTTGGGAAACTGTGTTCATAACCTCTTTGCTTAAATTATGAGGCTTGATATCAAGAGAACATGATTTTCTCGTTAATTTCATTTGTTGATGCCTTACAGTATCAGAGCAACAGTGTGTCTTTTAGCAACGAAAGCTCGCCAGATCTAAAATACTACTCTGCATTGAGCATTATGGATAACAACCTTTTTCAAATTGTTACAGGGAAAAGCTTAATTCTAAACGGAAAAGTAATTCTAACCGGAGTTATTCAAGTTTATCTATATAATGCGGGGTCAACACGGCTCAGGAAATCTTTTTGGCTGTTTTTAGTTCGAACTATTATCTGATATCATTGAAGGAGTTGGGTGAGAGAAATAGTAAAGGTTTCTGGAATTGCTTCAGGTATTATTGAAGACGGTTCCCAGGACCCTTCTATCCAAGTTTGTTTTTATTTACAATTCTATGAAAAGAGTTGTTTACTAAATTTCCGTTCGCAATAACAGCCGTGGAACTTCAACAACAATGACGTCATTGGGAAATAAACTCATCGTACTCGCAAGGTTGTCATTTATTCTGCTGTCATGTACTTTCAATTGATTATTTTGTCTCTTGCTAGCTAGCTCTAATCGATCATGACAATGGGAAAGAAATTAAACATCACAATGAATTTTTAGTTCATTTCATAAAATTTAATTTTCACCTTACTTGTTTTCATTTCATGTCAGTGTAGCACCTCATTCATCAAAAATATCAAGAAGAGAAATTAAGGAAAACATGACGTCATAGTTGTCTTCACGACTCAGTTTTCTGACGCAAACTTCTTAAAATGGTACCATCTCCTGGGATAACGCAGTGATAAAATACCGCAACAGGCATTTCAGATGAATTCACCTGCTGTTTATCTTAACAGCGTGAGCAATAAAAGTTCGCTTCCGTTCTATTTATCGCGAAACACAGCAAGCACGCTGTAAACTTTATCAACCATTGTGTCATGTACAGAGCCACAGTTATAAGCTTGATCATAATTAACTAGCTCACTACACGACAAGGTACCCCTGTGGCAAAAGAGATTTAAGACTTCCAAGTCATGTTAACAAAAATCTACATCGAAACGATGTGAGATAGTGCGGGCATTGACAGGCAGTAGTAATTGATAACTTCCACCATCATAACGCAGACATGCTCATCTAAAAGTGAGAACGTGATTGCCGAACACAGTAAGGTTTCATGCGAAGCTCTCGAGAAAATTTCAGAGCCGACCACGACTTGAAATCCGGAGAAAATTAGTTTGCTGGGGGAACTTCAATCAGAACATGATTCGTTCTGCTGCAGTGCGTTGTTGAGTTGAGGAGCGAATGGTTCTCAATTTTCGTCAGAAGGTATGCATACATGTAGATTATGTATACATGTCGATTATTCACTTCTATTTGGCAGTATATGGTTTGTTACGCTATGTTTCCTAACTTATTAGGAATTGCGTAAACACTTGCATTCTGTAGATTTTTAAATTTCAAGTCTGCTACGTTTCAGGTTACGATTGTCGGTACCAGTTTTATTTCTGATAGTGGAAGAATAGAGTTTAGTAAAAATCGCCAGTGGGGAATTTTAAAAGATTGAATAAAAGAGCTTAATAACAATTAAACCTCGGGAGTAACGCCGGCTAACAACTGAGACCTCCTAGCGTTTTCAAAGGACTTCTCAAGAATATAGACGAACAAAGTTTTCCTAAATCTGGATCAAACATAGATACTTAGATTCCGTCCAAGTAAAATCGATCTGTTCGTTACGAATACGGCTTCCTTGTGCAGTTCAGTGAATTAGACTCGGTGAAATTCTGTGTAAGTCAGACCCTGATTCAAGAATAAAACACTTTTGGAGATCGCAGACGGAATGCTACCAAATCTAAACATCCGAAAGGATACTTCCTTCAACGTAAAACTCCACACTGTATTTTCGCCTTGAATTCTTGGTGTTTGTTTCTAATACGGTAAAGGAAGAGATTTTTCAAGGCAATACCATTATATGAACCCGATGTAATGCGGTATGCCTTCGTTGGTATTAACCATGTTTTACACATAGTGATCCCTGAGTGTGTATCCCTGTTTTTCTCTTTTTTAGGTTTTGGTCATTTCCGGCCGCTGTTGTACTTAGCCTGTGAAAAAAAAAAGGATCAATTTGCCATACAAGGCACACAAAATGATAAGCGAATGCGAAAACATTGCGGCGAGCACTCGGCGAGTCAAACGTTTATCCCCAGATCGCTCTCGGTTGGCCAACACGCCGGTCCGCACATATTTTCACTCTCTTTCCTTGAGGCTCGGGACAGGCAGAATGATTGGCGCGCAGGTCTTGGTTGGAGCTCTGGCTTGGACCAACATCGCAGAGTTCTGGGGGAGGAGGGTAGAAAGATAATTTCCTCCCAGAGTACCCCTCTCTATCCAGGAGAAAAGTGAGGGAATATACAGGGAAATTAACGAATTCAAAGTTTTGAGTAGTGGGCCTGTAATAAATTATTATACCAACCTGACGGATTAGAAATATTTATTTATGGAAGGTTTTCTGTGACAAACAATGGGAAATACTCAGAAATTCACCCACTGGACCGAGATAGGATTTTAGCATCCTCATAGACAAAAGTCAGAAATCAAAAGCAATCAGTGAACGGTGTTATTTACCTTCATACATATCCACACTGAGCAAGTGCTGAATTCAACCATGGAGAGAACGTCGTTAGCTTTTGAAAGCCTTACAATTCCGTAAACAAAACAAAACTGGATTATTTTTAGTTAAATCCAAATGTAAGGTCACTTTTTACAAAGGTCGAAAGCAAAGACACAAAAGAATGTAAATTAAACTGGTGCGTTTCGTCTGAAATCATGAAAATGAACTAAAGAACAATTGAGTGCTTCAGGTTCATGAATCTTTCAGGTAATGTCTGCCTTCACCTGCCGTCACAAATTTAGAAGTTGGAGGTAGTTTGTTTTTATGTGGGAAGACCTTGGACGTATTTGATTAGCTTCGTCTTGTAGTGAGACCAAATCGGTAAAAAAAAAAAAAAAGAAAAAAACAGGCTATTTTGGACTTGAGAAATAAAAATATCGAAAAAATTATTCAAATGCAGCTAATAAGTTCAGCGATGTGAAATTTTGACAGCTCTACAAGGTGTAACTCAGCGGAGGCATACTGCGATATAATTTGAATTCACACAGAAAAAAAGCATTCAAAATGAAGTATAAGACTGGTATTGAGTAACACTGGTGCCTTGTTTTTTGAAGGCTTCAAGATTACTTCTCATTGAAACAATCTTATTGAAAAATATTCAAATTTACAGCAGTTGCTGAAACCATGAAACAATAAACTTGACTTTGGGGATAACTCTTTGATATTTGGGTTCGTGCGCAAAACATCGATCAAATATATCAAAACATTTTTTATATATTTATGCGGAAACTTCTCTCAATTGTGAACAAAAAAAAGGAAACAAACCTTATACGCCAATCTTCTTGGGTCGTGAAAGTAATGACAGAGTTTCTAATTAAAATTAATTTGTGTTTGGCTTTGATAACCAATATTTGGCACTCACCAATGTAACTCTCGCTATCTAATGGTGTGTCTCAAGAATTAACCAAAGCACGTTATGAAATTTTAATTCAAGACACTTAGAGGCGACTGAAATGAATCTGCTATCTTTAAACAGTGGTCGTAGATGAAAAGAAATATGTTGCGGATTATTGAATCAAATTTGACGGCTACTGGTTAGTAAATTTACCAGATTATTGTTTAAAAACAGAACAGTCCCGTTCGGCAAGTTCCATAACAACACGATGTAATGTATTCCATTGGATGTTTATCAGTTTTTAAGCCCAAACAACTCTAGCTTATTCTTATGGATCAGCTCAACAAAAAATATATATTTAAAACGCGCTTTGGTAAGTAAAAATCCTTTTGTGGTTAATCACACCAGTTTGAAAACTTTTGCTTTGAACAAAAAAAAAAACTTATTCTAAAGTTAACATTTGAATTAAACTTTGTTTATTCCAGACCAGATTACTTATTAAGCGAAAAACATTGAATATCGGTCAATATTGTCGTTTGGTTTAGAGAAACCCTTTCAAGGATATTTTGTGCAGGATGTGATTTTAAAGAAATTATGGTTGTTACTGCCGGCGTCAGAAATATATTAGAGACGCCGTCTATGCGAGAGGTAATAAATTCCTTTTGTATTCTGCATACGCCTGACGACAGATGTATTCGAAGTCACATTTCAAAACTGAAGTAAACAACATAAACCTCTTCGAGAAACAACTCGCCAATGATGACAAGTTAAGAGTTTCAAACAAGTCACTCTGGAAGAATACATTTTCATCGAACGAGAATCTTGTAGCGAGTGCTTTTAATGGAGCGATGTGGCACGAATTCGCTAAAAATGTCATTTTGTGGGCAGTTTTCTACTTGTGTTTGAGAATGATCCAAAAGTTATTCGTAAAATTTCTGTGCTTAGGTATTGATATCATGTTGTCATACAGTTTGCAGTTTGATGATAAATCGTATATTTTTCTTAAATTCAGTAACGATCTCCAAATTCATATTGCTGTAAAATGTGCTGGTGAAGAAGTAACTTCTGAAGCTCGATGTTCAAAGTTTTATTGGAAACTGCAGATATCACCCATCGTGTGTGTTAATGGTGCGCAAGAATGTGACAGGTTTATTTTTCGCTACAGAAAGTGAAGCGTCATAAGTTTCTGCCCTATCTGCTCTCGCTCGAATAAAAAAGAATTTGTACTTTACTTAGAAATTTTACGAGAATTTTAAGAGATTCTGAATTAAAAAGAAAACATTATCAAAGATATCTAAGAGTTCAAAGAATCCACATATACATTCCAAATTTTAATGTATGGTTTAATGATTTGTTTAGTTTAAGTTTAAGTTTAATTCATTCGCCACAGGAATGGCAGGAGAAAGGAACAGAACTTTCCGTTCCAATTGACACCCAACCCTCTATTACTCACCCATCCCACCCCGGGGAGGACATCCATCACACAGTAAT